TATTGGCCAGGTAATGAGTGGTGCCTGGTTTACTCCAGACGTGATGCTTGGCATTCAGGCAAAATAGTTCAATCTTGGGTTCATCAGACCAGAGAATCTTGTTTTCTCATGGTCTGAGAGTCCTTTAGGTGCAGGCTGTCATGTGCCTTTTACTGAGGAGATGCTTCCGTCTGGCCACTCTACCATAAAGGCCTGATTGGTGGAGTGCTGCAGAGATGGTTGTCCTTCTGGAAGGTTCTCCCATCTCCACAGAGGAACTCTGGAACTCTGTCAGAGTGACCATTGGGTTCTTGGTCACCTCCCTGACCAAGACCCTTCTCCCCCGATTGCTCAGTTTGGCCGGGCGGCCAGCTCTAGGAAGACTCTTGGTGGTTCCAAACTTCTTCCATTTAAGAATGATGGAGGCCACTGTGTTGTTGGGGACCTTCAATGCTTAACACTAGTGGATGTATTATAAGAAGCATATGTATGTATGTATGTATGTATGTATATATATATATATATATATATGTATATATATGTATGTGTATGTATGTGTATGTTTATATATATATATATATATATATATATATATATATATATATATATATATATATATATATATATATAGATACACTGCTCAAAAAAATAAAGGGAACACTTAAACTACACAATGTAACTCCAAGTCAATCACACTTCTGTGAAATCAAACTGTCCACTTAGGAAGCAACACTGATTGTCAATACATTTCACATGCTGTTGTGCAAATGGAATAGACAACAGGTGGAAATTATAGGCAATTAGCAAGACACCCCCAATAAAGGACTGGTTTTGCAGGTGGTGACCACAGACCACTTCTCAGTTCCTATGCTTCCTGGCTGATGTTTTGGTCACTTTTGAATGCTGGCGGTGCTTTCACTCTAGTGGTAGCATGAGACGGAGTCTACAACCCACACAAGTGGCTCAGGTAGTGCAGCTCATCCAGGATGGCACATCAATGCGAGCTGTGGCAAAAGGTTTGCTGTGTCTGTCAGCGTAGTGTCCAGAGCATGGAGGTGCTACCAGGAGACAGGCCAGTACATCAGGAGACGTGGAGGAGGCCGTAGGAGGGCAACAACCCAGCAGCAGGACTGCTACCTCCGCCTTTGTGCAAGGAGGAGCACTGCCAGAGCCCTGCAAAATGACCTCCAGCAGGCCACAAATGTGCATGTGTCTGCTCAAACGGTCAGAAACAGACTCCATGAGGGTGGTATGAGGGCCCGACGTCCACAGGTGGGGGTGCTTACAGCCCAACACCGTGCAGGACGTTTGGCATTTGCCAGAGAACACCAAGATTGGCAAATTCGCCACTGGCGCCCTGTGCTCTTCACAGATGAAAGCAGGTTCACATTGAGCACATGTGACAGACGTGACAGAGTCTGGAGACGCCGTGGAGAACGTTCTGCTGCCTGCAACATCCTCCAGCATGACCGGTTTGCCGGTGGGTCAGTCATGGTGTGGGGTGGCATTTCTTTGGGGGGCCGCACAGCCCTCCATGTGCTCGCCAGAGGTAGCCTGACTGCCATTAGGTACCGAGATGAGATCCTCAGACCCCTTGTGAGACCATATGCTGGTGCGGTTGGCCCTGGGTTCCTCCTAATGCAAGACAATGCTAGACCTCATGTGGCTGGAGTGTGTCAGCAGTTCCTGCAAGATGAAGGCATTGATGCTATGGACTGGCCCGCCCGTTCCCCAGACCTGAATCCAATTTATCTGGGACATCATGTCTCGCTCCATCCACCAACGCCACGTTGCACCACAGACTGTCCAGGAGTTGGCGGATGCTTTAATCCAGGTCTGGGAGGAGATCCCTCAGGAGACCATCTGCCACCTCATATATATATATATATATACATACACTGCTCAAAAGAATTAAGGGAACACTAAAATAACACATCCTAGATCTGAATGAATGAAATAATCTTATTAAATACTTTTTTCTTTACATAGTTGAATGTGCTGACAACAAAATCACACAAAAATTATTATTATTATTATGGATTTGGAGTCACCCTCAAAATTAAAGTGAAAAACCACACTACAGGCTGATCCAACTTTGATGTAATGTCCTTAAAACAAGTCAAAATGAGGCTCAGTAGTGTGTGTGGCCTCCACGTGCCTGTATGACCTCCCTACAACGCCTGGGCATGCTCCTGATGAGGTGGCGGATGGTCTCCTGAGGGATCTCCTCCCAGACCTGGACTAAAGCATCCGCCAACTCCTGGACAGTCTGTGGTGCAACGTGGTGTTGGTGGATGTGCTCAATTGGATTCGGTCTGGGGAACGGGCGGTCCATAGCATCAATGCCTTCCTCTTGCAGGAACTGCTGACACACTCCAGCCACATGAGGTCTAGCATTGTCTTGCATTAGGAGGAACCCAGGGCCAACCGCACCAGCATATGGTCTCACAAGGGGTCTGAGGATCTCATCTCGGTACCTAATGGCAGTCAGGCTACCTCTGGCGAGCACATGGAGGGCCACCCCACACCATGACTGACCCACCGCCAAACCGGTCATGCTGGAGATGTTGCAGGCAGCAGAACGTTCTCCACGGTGTCTCCAGACTCTATCACGTCTGTCACATGTGCTCAGTGTGAACCTGCTTTAGGTATAGGAACTGAGAAGTGGTCTGTGGTCACCACCTGCAAAACCAGTCCTTTATTGGGGGTGTCTTGCTAATTGCCTATAATTTCCACCTGTTGTCTATTCCATTTGCACAACAGCATGTGACATTTGTCAATCAGTGTTGCTTCCTAAGTGGACAGTTTGATTTCACAGAAGTGTGATTGACTTGGAGTTACATTGTGTTCCCTTTATTTTTTTGAGCAGTGTATATACCAATTGATTTTTAAAGAATATAATTTGTCTCATGGGTTTAGTTCAACAGTGGTTACATTTCTCCAGCCCCATCCCTCAGTTGTTTACTAAAGACAGTGGCGGGGTGTACCTGCAGATTTGTTGCCTGGAGATTTGTTTGAACTACAGATTGCCCTTTTAATGGTGCTAGGTTAATGGAAATATATTCTTAGAGTACCACAGTATGAGTCATAATACCCATCAAACCTATTTTAGAAACACTTAAAATAAGGGCTGTGTTTTGCTAAGGCTTACCCTGGTGTCATGTTTTGATAACCTGGATGAGACTGCCGAATCGAGGTAAAGGTAAGAATTTCTGGATTAACCATCTGTTAACTAAATTTAGTAAAGAATAAATTGGCTAAATTTCCTTGAATTGACAATTCTGTGAACTGTTTTGGGCAAGTTTAAAATGTACCAATACCTGTTAGTAAAGGTGTCAGCTAAAGATGACCTGCAGGAGCTTGCCTGGATTTGTAATCTTGCATGATGTCTACTTTGATGCTAATCAGCATAGTCAAAATCTGAGAATAAATAGAGCCGAATATATTGATAAGTCACCTTGTCCGAGAGAGATTTACACGGTTAATAAAACGTCACACACGGTTAAGCCTACACAAAACACAGCCCTTCTTTTAAATGTTTCTAAAATCCCCCATTGGAAAAATAAATGGTGGAAAAAACGATTGGAACCATTTCCCTGTTTGACCGCAATGTTTTTTGGGTATTATGCCTCCTCCACTGTGGGGCTCTATGGATATTCCCTCCAAATCAATTTCTTCACTGAATGTTAACACTTTGTTCAATGTGAGACTAACATCATATGCGTAAACCTGTCTGTGAAGTGATTGCCCCACATTGTGAAACGGCAGGAAATAAAGCATATTTTTAACCAAGTATTTGTGTAGGTGTGTGACTTTACCCGGGGGCTCCTGGGGACCCAAGGGCTGCATGTTTTGGTTTTTGCCCTAGTACTACACAGCTGAATGATTATTTGAATCAGTTGTGAAGTGCTAAGGAAAACACCAAAACGTGCAGGCCTTGAGTCGCCAGGACCGAGTTAGAGAAACACTGCTTTATGCTATATCACGCTCAACAGTTTCCCGTGTGTATCAAGAATGGCCCACCACCCAAAGGACATCCATCCAACTTGACAACTGTGGGAAGCATTGGAGTCCGCATTGGCCAGCATCCCTGTGGAACGCTTTCGACACCTTGTAGCGTCCATGCCCCAACGAATTGAGGCTGTTCTGAGAGTGGGGTTTTTAATGTCTTGTAGACTCAGTGTATGTCAAGGTGGTCCTGCTTGGCGTGTGAATGTAGTAAAACAATTCAAAAATCAGAAGTCCAGGCAAAAAGACTTGTAAATCAGCTATTGCTAGACATTTTGACATCAGTATTAACATTACAAGCTGAGATTCTGTCGTTTCAGAACATACAAAATAAATTCAAGTGACTGAAACCGAAATCAAGTCATTAATAATATTAATATATTTATATTAATACCTAAAAGGCTTTTTTTTGTTCAAGTTTGGAACATCGACCATTTGTTTAAAAATGGAGGGTAGTCTGTCTTTCATCTGTAGTGTTGGACAGGTCGTCCATCTTGGTTCCCTCCGCGTGGCCCTAGGCTCTGGACCCTTCCAGTTTCCTCCAGCACTACTTGCCAATTTCCAGTTACCCCACCATGACAAACTGCATTCATACATGGAATGAAAAAAATAAAAAATAAACAATCACAAAATCCATAGATGCCGCAAAGATCTGAAAATACGGAGATATGTACTGCGACCTTCCACCCTCAACTGGGCCTTCCACATTCACAACCTGGCCTCCAAAACATTACTGTTACCCATTGAAAAAGAAAGAAAACAGTACATCACATTTGTTTCACTTCACTTGAACTGCAAAAAAAATTAAAATAAAATAGGAAGTCTACATTAATTACGATTCGCTGCAGATCCCCCCCACACAAAGAAGAGTGAGAGTTAAAGTGAAATTTGTAGCGGTGTACATGACAGAATACAACGACTCCTTTTCCCTGGCAAATGACATTTCACTCTGCCTGGTTTCCACATGTCCGCTTCACCCCAGGAGCGAGGGCGAGAAAGGCGGTTGCTCGTTGTTAATCGTTCTTCTTCTCCTCCTTTGCTTTTTCTGTTATGGCGGCGACCTCCCCTGTGGCTGTGACCTCCCCTGTGGCTGTGACCTCCCCTGTGGCTGTGACCTCCCCTGTGGCTGTGCTGTCCTTGTTAGGGTCCACTCCAGTGGGTTCCGCTCCGCTGGTGCCAAATTCATTCATCCGGTTGGGATCCACCCTGTAGATCCAGCGCTGGTACAGGTAGACAAAGAATACTACGTCTGTGGAAGGGAAACATAAGAGTTAATACAGGGAACCAGGGGTGTAATGTTCACCAAAACCCATGGTTCGGTACGTATTGTGGTTTTGGGGTCACAGTTCAGTTTCGGTACAGCGGGAAAATGAAATGCCAACAGTTACTGTAGTAACATTTTTGGCCATTTAAGAAAATACAAAGTGTTGATATTCCTGATTCCATGTATGATCATGAGTCATATAATGCCTGATGAGAGCACAATCAGGAATACCAACACTTTGCCCTCAGAACAGCCTCAATTCGTCGGGGCATGGACTCTACAAGGTGTCAAAAGCGTTCCACAGGGATGCTGGCCCATGTGGACTCCAATGCTTCCCACAGTTGTGTCAAGTTGGCTGGATGTTCTTTGGGTGGTGGACCATTCTTGATACACACGGAAAACTGTTGAGCGTGAAAAACCCAGCAGCGTTCTGACACAAACGTGCTACCATAACACGTTCAAAAGCACTTAAATCTTTTGTCTTGCCCATTCACCCTCAATCCATGTGTCAATTGTCTCAAGGCTTGAGAATCCTTCTTTAACCTTTCTCCTCCCTTTCATCTACACCAGGGATGGGCCCGCTGACCAATTTGTAGGCCGGCGGACCAACTCAACTTCCTGTTGAGACTTAGAATAATAGAATACACAAGGTGCAGTTTTAAAATGTGGTTGTGCATCAGCAGTCACTCAATTAGCCCATGTCAGCAAGAACATTTTTGATTGGTAAGTTAGTCTAGTGTCCAGCTATCTAAACTTGTAGTAAGCATGTTCGAATTACCGACCGGGGTGGGGCCCATTGATCATCAGTTATCATATTAAAAACGGAAAACATTTGCCTCCACCCTATGGCAAAATGTGTAGAATTGCAGGAATTGAACTTTAAATATATAGATTTTTTATCTTCGCTGTGACGAGGGGGGCCGCTAAAATGCTATTTGGTAAACACATCATACCGGTTGTAGTTTGAGAGTTATATCTTAAAACTAGATTGCTGACATGCAAAACATTTTGGAATTATATTGGTGCGGCTGGCTTCCGGGTTAAGCGAGCGGGTGTTAAGAAGCAGCGCAGCTTGGCGGGTCAGGTTTCGGAGGAAGCATTACTCGACCTTTGCCTCTCCCGAGCCCGTTGGGGAGTTGCAGCGATGAGACAAGATTGGATCGCGATTGGAAATAACGAGATTGGGGAGAAAAGGGGGTAAAAAAATACAAAAACAATTATATTATTATTTTTAGTTATTAAAAAGGAATACAAAAAATAAACAGTTCAGTCCCATTGTAAAGTGTAGCCTAATGTATTTGAGGCTTAAGTCCTCTAAAGTTTTACATTTCTAACTCAAGACAGACCTGATTTTCCCTAAAGAAAAATGTATCAACCCCTAAATAAGTAAGTATATTTATTATAATCCACATAATAATTCAAATGAAAGACTGGGTATGCTAAAGACAATCAGAATGTCTTTAACCCTGCTTTATAGTATAACTTATTTTGAACGAAAGCCACAAATAAGTGAGTCACTCAGCCCTATGCTGAAAAATGTAGCTGTCCACGGTTTTGAAACAATCTTCAGTGACCATTGAATTGTCGCCTTTCCCTATATGTTGCTATGTGCATAACAGTGAAAATTGAGGAGAGGAAACACCAACTTAATTACACTGAACAAAAAGCTTATTTCTCAAAAATGTTGTGATCAAATGCATTTACATCCCTGTTAGTGAGCATTTCTCCTTTGCCAAGATAATCCATCCACCTGACAGGTGTGGCATATCAAGGTGCTGATTAAACATCATGATCATTACACAGGTGCACCTTGTGCTGGGGACAATAAAAGGCCACTAAAATGTTCAGTTTTGTCACACAACACAATGCCACAGATGTCTCAAGTTAAGGAAGCGTGCAATTGGCATATTAATTGCAGGAATGACCACCAGAGCTGTTGCCAGAAAATTTAATGTTACTTTCTCTACCACAAGATGCCTCCAACGTAGTTTTAGAGAATTTGGCAGTACGTCCAACCGGCCTCACAACCGCAGACCACATGTATGGCGTTGTGTGGGCGAGCGGTTTGCTGATGTCAACGTTGTGAACAGAGTGCCCCATAGTGGCGGTGGGGTTATGGTAAGGGCAGGCATAAGCTACAGACAACGAACACAATTACATTTTATCGCTGGCATTTTCAATGCACAGAGATACCGTAACGAGATCCTGAGGCCCATTGTCGTGCCATTCATCCACCGCCATCACCTAATGTTTCAGCATGATAATGCACAGCCCCATGTCGCAAGGATCTGTACACAATTCCTGGAAGCTGAACAATTTCCTAGTTCTTCCATGGCCTGCATACTCAGACATGTCACCCATTGAGCATGTTTGGGATGCTCTGGATCGACATGTAAGACAGCGTGTTCCAGTTCCCACCAATATCCAGAAACTTCGCACAGCCACTGAGGAGTGGGACAACATTCCACAGGCCACAATCAACAGCCTGATCAACTCTATGCGAAGGAGAAGTGTTGCGCTGCATGAGGCAAATATGGTCACACCAGATACTGACTGGTTTTCTGATCCACGCCCATACCTTTTTATTAAGGTATCGTTGACCAACAGATTCATATCTGTATTCCCAGTCATTTGAAATCCATACGTTAGGGCCTAATGAATTTACTTAAATTGAATGATTTCCTTATATGACCTGTAAAAGCTTTGAAATTGTTGCATGTTGCGTTTATATTTTTGTTCAGTATAATAGGTCTATAATCAATAGCCTAACTGTTAACCGTGCCTGTCTTTATAAATCATCCATATACACTACAATATATATATACAAAGATGTGGACACCCCTTCAAATTAGTGGATTTGGCCATTTCATCCACACCCGTTGCATAAAATTGAGCAGACAGCCATGCAATCTCCATAGACAAACATTGGCAGTAGAATGGCCTTACTGAAGAGCTCAGTGACTTTCAACGTGGCACTGTCATAGGATGCCACCTATGTCAGTTCGTCAAATTTCTGCCCTGCTAGAGCTGACCCGGTCAACTTTAAGTGCTGTTATTGTGAAGTGGAAACTTCCGCCTCGAAGTGGTAGGCCACACAAACTCACAGAAGGGGACCGCCGAGTGCTGTAGCACGTAAAAATCGTCTGCCCTCGGTTGCAACACTCACTACAGAGTTCCAAACTGCCTCTGGAAGCAACATCAGCACAATAACTGTTCGTTGGGAGCTTCATGAAATGGGTTTCCATGGCCGTGCAGCCGCACACAAGCTTAAGATCACCACACGCAATGCCAAGCATCGGCTGGAGTGGTGTAAAGCTCGCCGCCATTGGACTCTGGAGCAGTGGAAACGCGTTTTCTGTAGTGATGAATAACCATCAGTTTATAATCTTTGCTATGCTGTAATAAAGGCTTTACACATTTCTTTGTTAGAACAGTCGCTGGTATTACTTATCTAGTGCTGTTTACACTGTTCCAAACAGGCAGAAAAACTATCGTAATCCAACACCACCTGTTTGTCACACATAATATGCAAGCAGCTCTCGCTCCTATACCCTCCTTTTTCTTCATCTCCTTACTGTTATTATTACAATTATTATGATCATCATTATAATAAGTCATGTCATTATATGGCTTCTTATAGTAGTAGCCTTGTGTAACCACCACTGAGTTGTAGGCCTAAGAGTGCGTCCTGTTTAGTCTTAATTCCGTAACTTGCTATGCATGAAGCCTCTCCAGTCATAAGAGTTCCACCTAGTGGTCGACAGATACCGTATCTAGGAGACCCCATAAGCTGTCCTAACAGTTAAGAGTTACCAGCAGGTATCTTGATTATAGAACGAGGCAGTGAGTCAGTGGTTCCTGTGCCATAGACAGGCAATTGCTTTGGAGTTAAAATAATGTTTTTATATTTCTATATGATCAACCCATTGTAAAGGAAAAAGGCTCAACGCTCGCTCACCATTAATTATTCGTTTTACTAAACAAGTTTAAAAGATTGACGTTTCGGTCTTTAATGGCCTTCAGAATAATCCCAAAGTGAATGGACAAGTTCATATTGGGCAGGGGGAAGAGAATTAAGGAGAACTCTTCAACTGGTGGTGCTAATGAGACGTGTGGTAGACCCTACAGGTTGGTACTCAGGGTGTGGGGTACTATGGTCAATGTCTCCACCTAGTGATGAAATACAGAAGTGGAACCAGTAAAAAACAATCGGATAACTGGGCAAGCTTTTTTCAACTACAGTAGGTGTAATTGATATACAACCATCACTATATAATGCATGTTGAATTGTTTTCAAAATTTTTACCAATGCAACATTTGATGAACAACCACATTCACCTCGGTTGTCTGAAACATGCTGCGGAGTTCACAGCTGGCGATGCCTCATCTGTGGGCCAGGTGTAAATCGTTCGAAGCCTAACCTATTGAGATACAAAAGAAGCCATTCCACCCTTGATGGGCTATCAGCAGGACAATAGACTTGCTGAGTTGATTTCTATTTTTAGGGACTTGAAATTGATGTTTTAGGTATAGCCAGGACTAGAATTTCGTGAGTTTAGGGGCAAGGCCATTCGGCCTTCAAGATGTCCCCAATTTGCCAGGGCACCAAGGCCATTAACCAAAATAGCCAATTAAATTGATTTGAAAACCGAAAAACAGTAGCTATTCTATTAAGAAAAACATAACTGTTTGTAAATGTACATAAATAATTACCCTCAAAGTGTAGGTGACATGTCCAGACCGATGCAGACATGAGGCGCCTGAAAATGTAGCCAAACTTTAAGGAGCCTTTTAATAACATAGTGCCTTCAGAAAGTATTCAGACCCATTTTTCCACATTTTCTTACATTATAGCCTTATTCTAAAACTGATTCAACTGTTTTTTCCCCCTCAATCTACACACAATACCCCATAATGACAAAGCAAAAATAGTTTTTAGCAAACAGCACACAGCCAAGAGCTCAATTTCGAGTCTCATAGCAAAGGGTCTGAATCCTTATGTAAATAAGGTATCAGTTTTTTATCTTTATTAAATTTTCAGAAAAATTATAAAAACCTGTTATCCTTTGTCATTATGGGGTATTGTGTGTAGATTGATGAGGAAAATGTTTTATTTAAAACATTTTTAGAATAAGGCTGTAACGTAACAAAAATTTGGAAAAAGTCAAGAGGTTGGAATACTTTCCGAATGCACTAAATAATAATAATAATAATATGCCATTTAGCAGACACTTTTATCCAAAGCGACTTACAGTCATGCATGCATACATTTTTGTGTATGGGTGGTCCCGGGGCTCGAACCCACTACCTTGGCGTTTCAAGCGCCGTGCTCTACCAGTTGAGCTACAGAGGCCAGTCATGGTTGACAAATATAATTTAGGATCATTATTAATATCTAAAGGCTTGATTCTGTCGACATACTTGAGTCACTGTTGGTTCTGATAGAGAAAGGCCAGTGCCTGTTGCACACTGCAACATCACCCACCTTCCCATCGTAATTGTTTAACACCCCGACATTCGTCATTTTATGAGGCATGTCTTGCCATGTTCCGACCATGGGAATGTTAAGGGGATTCTTTTATAAACACTTCCTCATATGCAATTGAAACCAGTACTTATTTCTCTCATGTCCTCAACTTACTTTCGTCGTCCAGCAGCCAAAGACACAATCCTAGTCATATTAACAACACATGCTTGTTGATGCGTCTTTGGATCTTCCCTATTTCAAAATGTCATTAGGATATTTTCATCTCGGTCATATGAAACCGCTCACATTTGCGGTGCACTTTTGAGAAGGGTGTATCCCCGCTAATTGCATTTTGGAACATTTGCGCTTATAGCCTACTGCAGTGTGCGCATTGCAACATTTTAAGCTAAACATTGTGATCTGTTGCATCAGCCTCATTGCTTTTAAAAGGTTTTTTAATGTACAGTGGTTGTATTATTTTGGGATCTATCGCGTCCCACAACTGTCCCAGAGTGTGTTTGGAATATTTCTTTCTCGCACAGAAGGACAAGCTGACCAATAGAATAGGTCAACTTTCCTACTAGATTGACATAGGCTAGTACTTTTGCTGTTCGTTAGACCTACTCATCTTGTTGGCTGACGATAAGTTAATGTGGACAGTTCTTCTAACAACTTTAATATGCGCCTCCGAATTCGATAAGGACGTGCGCCGTTGCATCAGTCTGCCTTCACTTGTAGCCTACTTCGAAGCTGCAATGCCTGTGAGAAGGACCCGATCATGTGATGGGCATTGGCTAATAAGAATTGAGATCTGGCGATTGGCAGCAGGGAGAAGGGAATTCTTTTTTTTTTTTTATGCAGACGATTTGGAACAACAACAAATACAATAATAGTACAGCCAAGATTAAAAACAGTCGCATTCATTCGTGATTGCAATTGCTTTAGCCAACTTGTTGCAGTTCATTGTTTAATTATTCAAGGCTCCCTTTGTTACTTATTTGTATAACTAAAATGCTCGAACGAAATTACCAGACCAAAAGATGACAACAGTTCACCTGACACAAGACTAAAGTTTGAAACGTCTAACTCAATATCACAGACCTGATTTGACGAAAATGATCAACCCCCTACAAATGACAATTTATTATAATCCACATAATCAAAACAACCTTATAATAGGTCATGACATACAGTATATACTGTATATCCAATAGAAAGAAGTATACAGTATTGTTCATCAACATCTTTGTATTTTCATTAATAAAATAATGATACAAATACTAGATGGAGTAGATTTGCTCAAACATGCCCTCTAGTGTTTCAAATGAGCATTAACGGCAAGCACTGCAACTCACCGATACACATCACAGCATACCGTTCACTATACCTCAGTATGATGCAACTTAAATGAGGAACCACTGTAGTTGTTTTAACGGAACAGCCTGAACTGTTGTTTTTCCAGCTCAGATGTACTCAAAAGGCATACAATGCAGCATAGGCATAGCCTATTTGTTTTTTTACAAATGCATTAATTCGGGTCCACAGCGCAGCCCGAACAAAGGTCCCCGTACCGAACGGTTCGGTACGAATACCGTTAAACCCCTAAGGGAACTAGGGTTTTCTAATATCAATGGGATAGTCATTGTTAAGAACCGGAATGTACTAAGTCTATGAAATGTGTGTGTTGAAGGGCAGTGAGTGATAACACGCACCGTCTCTGAGACATCCTATCCTGTACATCATGGGCATCTTGATGACAAAGGCGAACAGGTCGTCGATGAAGGTGTTCAGTGCCTTGTAGGTGAGCATCCTCCATGGGAGGTGGGCCACAGACTTCATCTTATAGTTGATGAACAGCTGTGGCGTCATCGTGATGAAACCTGAGCCAATCACAAAGCAGACACGACGACGCATCAGATCGACGAAACAACGAGCATCACACTTAGTCCGTCTCCGACAGTGTCATTTAGGGGAGAATATCAATTAGGATGTCAATTAATAAAGATAGTCATTTAGGAGATAATGTGTTAACAAGGACAGACTATCAATAATGATAGACTTCTGGGTCAATAAGGCTAGATTGTCCGCTAGGACAGACTGTCAATAGGGATCAGACTATGTAAATGAGGATGAAGACTGCATAGACTCCCACATGTCCTAGACTGTGCAACTGATATTTAGCAATTTGATCATCACAGCATAGAAAACAAGGGAGGGAAGGATGATTTTCCAAGACCAGAAAACTAGGAAATCCTAATAAATCAGACCAAAAAAAATTTATACAAAAATTCACACTTCTGAACAATGACCACCAGTGACTCACCAAAGGTTAACAAGAAGCCATAGAGCATGCCCAGTACGAATGAGTACCAGCCTTTGTGCTCTTGGTACAACACACTGTAGACGGCATAGCACCCGAACAGAGGGTACAGCAGCCATGACAGGTACCTGAAGGCCATCTACACAGAGGGTCGAAGAGAGGACAAATACATCAGTACAAGATTGTCCATGCTTGCGCTCAATAAAGGTATTGTATTGTGTCGTGTTGACATGTTTCCTTACATCGTCGAAGGCTTTGGTGGAGGACTGCACGTACGTTGACTTGTCTTTTATTGATAAGCGTGGGAGGATCCCAAACAATTTGTTTTCTCTGTCCAACTGGGGAGAGACAGACATCCAGATTAGCTAACAAACAAGGATTCATTTGTGCAAACAAACACATTGAAATACCTGTTCTCCATCTCACCTTGACGTCCATGACCTTGGTGATCTTCCAGAAGTCGATGAGCAGGCCGATGAACACGCTGACCTGGATGTTATGGGACACAAGATGGGGATTAGTAAAGGGACCACTCTGCTCTAGTACAATGGTCATGAATGACATGCGTCCAGAGCCTGCTATGATGAATTACATTAAGGGGTCTGGTGACAAGTCTTTATTTGAATCCTTTTTTAAATAAATGAAAACCCACTGACCTGCACCACAAAGTTGGTTTCATTGTCCAGGATGTAGAGCAGCACCACCATTGACTGGAACACCCCGAAGACGATGGAGCGCACAGAGAGACCCTCCATTGACTGCCTGCTGTTCCAGAACTGGATGTCTGACACACACACAGATGAGTATAGAAAGAACATTCAACCGCACCATAAAATACATGTTATCCAAAAGTGGTCTTATAATAGGCAGCTAAGCTGTGGAAACAGAAGCACAGTGAGATCACCATTCTTGAATGCCAGGAACTCGAAGATGCTGTGTACGATGGAGACCACGATGGTCACGCCCAGGAGGTACGGGTTGGTTTCCAGCAGGGCCACCTACAGAGACAACACAGTTCCTTAGCAACTGTTACCAGGGAAACAACATGGAGTCTAGACTCCGGGCCCAGACTGATTCTGATGTGCTATATTGGAGGAGCAAAAGCAGAACAGAGACCTATATCTCCTTCTCCATTTACACCCTGCCCCCGGCCTATGACCTCGAACCCCTGACCTTGACAGAGTCCTGGTCATCGTCAGACTGCTCGTAGGTGTCCTCTGGCAGGAAGTTCCATGGTGAGCGGGCGTTCTGGGCAGCGTAGAGCTGCCAGCGCCACAGGGACAGCGGGCAATAGGAGAGGCGCAGAGGCAGCGACGGCAGGGTCTCATTGATGGGGTAGTAATCTTTCTGTAGGTTCCAGTAGTCGTTGAAGTAGACGATAGGATAATAGTCGCCGCTCACCGCGTCAAACTTCACATCTGTAGGGTAAAAATTATGGGTTGAGAAAATGAGACCGTAACTAAAAGGAATTTCACCTTTAGTTAGATATTTGTAATGAAGCAATAGATCTCAACCCTCCTAGTATTTGCTCTGGTATGACCCACTGAGAAGCGTGAGAATAGGTGGGTAGAGCTTACGTTGGTCCAGTGGAGGGGGGACCGAGCCCTTGACCCAGGCTGTATGGTCGTCCACCATGTTGATGGTGAGGTTGGGGTGCCAGTGGGAGATGATCTCCACTGGGCCATGGCTCTCCGCTCGCTGGGGAAGGGAAAAGGAGAACGGCAGTCAATCAATACTGTGTGGACTGGGTTTACTGACCCAACAGGAATGGGGTCTACTCATCATGGTAAACACAGCTGACCTTGATCATCTCCGGGTCGGTCTCAGTCTCCCCCGTCAGCAGGTTCTTAGTCTTCACGAACTTCCTGCGTTTGAACTTGTTCAGCACTGAAAGAGTCAGAGGAAAACGTGAGTCAAACCACTGACATACTAGTTTGAAAAGGTCTAGCATGCACCAGAGTAGGGGGCTGTGTGTCAGTTACTTACTTCGCGTGGCATGGACTGTCGCTAGCCGACGATACTGGCCCTTGCGTTTGGGGTCTGGGTGGAATCCAGTTTTCGTGAAATACACGTGGATGTAGAAGGAACCATTCATTTGCACCTTCTGTAGCATGTAGGATCAGAGAGAGAGCGAGATTAGGAAATGGACATCCTACCTTTACTTCTCCCTCCTGCTCCCTCTCCTCCCCAGACTCCCCCCTCACCTCTGGGATGTCCAGATCTATTGAGTGCTCATAGCAGCCGTCCCCCTCTTCTCCAGCGTTCCAGTCTCCATAGACCAGGTCTCTATGGAACCAGAACAGGGACTGTGTGTCGTTGAAGTCAGAGAACACCTCGTCCTGGGAGATGTACACATACAGGTCCTGAGGGCAGGAAAAAAAAAACAGGTTAACATTTATTTCAGTTTTCTATTTCCATATTCTCCTATTGATTTGTCCATATGGTACTACTTTGGGTGGTTGTTTGCTGTGGCACAGCTTCTTTGTCCAGCAGTGTGCACTATTTACTGAGTGCAAGTCAACAAGCGATCCAGGATCAAGCTCATCCACGGAGACTAGTTGTGCACACAACTCACCCAGAGAACTACCACTGAGCGGCAGGAACAGACCAAAGGTCAATCAGGAAGTCAATACAGTCACATGACCTGGGGTTAATTGCTTATGCAGAATGGTGTGAAAAGGCTGGCATACCATGAGGCTTTCCTTGGGGAAAAGGTTTCGGCTGGGTAAATGCGGCGCCCCTGCTGGGGTACTGGGGTCTGGAGTAGAGGACCCCCTGCGGAACCAGCTACTGATGGCCCAGATGACAAAGATCCTGCAGAGGACAAGGGAAGAGAAGAAGAAAGTCATGTTAGTTTAAATTAATTATATTTCTATGATTGGGACCACCCCAATGACATCACCCCATTAAAGTTGAAATGTAAAACGGTTAAGGTAAGGGTGAATGTTAGGTTAGGGTTGAGGATAGTCCCAACGATCCCACTTAGTATCAACCGTAAAGTAAGAATGTGTGTCTGAAAAAAAGGTTGAGATAAAAGACAAGCTTTTGTTTTTTTATATCTTTAACATCAGATGTTGGAGAGGATTGATTATAGTTCCTTGGTGTCCACATCACTAACAAACTATCATGGTCCAAACACACCAAGAAAGTCGTGAAGAGGGCACGACAACGCCTTTTCCCAATCAGGAGACTGAAAAGATTTGGCATGGGTCCCCAGATACTCAAAAAGTTCTACAGCTGCACCATCGAGAGCATCCTGACTGGTTGCATCACTGCCTGGTATGGCAACTGTTCGGCATCCGACCGTAAGGCGCTACAGAGTGTAGTACATACGGCCCAGTACATCACTGGGGCCAAGCAGTACCGGAGCACCAAGTCTAGGTCCAAAAGGCTCCTTAACAGCTTCTACCCTCAAGCCATAAGACTGCTGAACAATTAATCAAATGGCCACCCGGACTGTTTGCATTGACCCCCCCTTTGTTTTTACACTGCTGCAACTCGCTGTTTATTATCTATGCATAGCCACTTTACCCCTACCTACATGTACAAATAACCTTGACTAACCTGTACCCCCGCACATTGACTCGGTACCGGTACCCCCTGTATTGTTATATTATTGTGTTTATTATTTATACTTTAGTTTATTTAGTAAATATTTTAACACCATTTTCTTAAAACTGCATTTTTGGTTAAGGGCTTGTAAGTATTTGGCGCATGTGACAAATAAAATGTCATTTGATTTTAACCCTGTTGCCTAATATGATGGTCTTGTATCCCATCAAGCTACTACTGTCAGGCAAACAACAGGGGCTTCTTCAAAGCCATCGTGTTTTGAGCATTAAGTATCAGTTGACTGAAATACTCCACGGGAATGTGTTGTAACAGTATGAAACTCACACTGTACTGCTTATGACAGGACCCAACTCTCCTGATACTCATTAATGAACCCTAAACAAACAATGTCATTCTAATCCCTCGCTGGCCCCAGCATTCTGGTTGTGTCTCCACTCATGAGACGACCAACAGAGTGTGAGGTGATTCCAATAGGTTGAGAAAAGTTACATTATCTAGCAAACACTGAAAATTCAACAACAGCACACATTCAAGACAGGACACCTCCGACATTAAATTAGATGCTGCTGTTGTGCTTGACTTGAATGAAGGTCTTAGTCATTGTCTCAACAACCAAGGTTGCCTCCCTATCACTCTAAACACTGTAGCTTGAAGTGTGAACTGGTTTCTCTCTAATGAGCGTAATTTGTCTCTGTCAACAATCCCCTGATATGACACCACAATACAAAGGCTGCATTTAAATATATTAGGCATTGTAAATTAATTGACTGCAGGTCTGTCGAGCTACTCTAGGTGAATGTGGCAGTTTAGAGTGGGAGAAGGCCATAATCCCAGTCAAACCAGGGCTTGGCCCAGACCCCATTAAAGGATAGCCTTACCATCAACGGTACTACTTAAGTACCATAGTACTTAAACACACTGCACCCCCCAATTCTAGTAAACAGGGGCTGTCTATAATATATACAGTTGAAGTCGGAAGTTTACATACACTTTAGCCAAATACATTTAAAGTAATTTTTTCACAATTCCTGACATTTAATCCAAGTAAAAATTCCCTGTTTTAGGTCAGTTAGGATCACCACTTTAATTTAAGAATGTGAAATCTCAGAACAATAGTAGAGAGAATGATTTATTTCAGCTTTTACTTCTTTCATCACATTCCCAGTGGGTCAGAAGTTTACATACACTCAATTAGTATTTGGTAGCATTGCCTTTAAATAGTTTAACTTGGGTCAAACGTTTCGGGTAGCCTTCCACAAGCTTCCCACCATAAGTTGGGTGAATTTTGGCCCATTCCTCCTGACAGAGCTGGTATAACTGAGTCAGGTTTGTAGGCCTCCTTGCTCGCACACGCTTTTTCAGTTCTGCCCACAAATGTTCTATAGGATTGAGGTCAGGGCTTTGTGATGGCCACTCCAACTTTGGAAGTATGCTTGGGGTCATTGTCCATTTGGAAGACCCATTTGCGACCAAGCTTTAACTTCCTGACTGATGTCTTGAGATGTTGCTTCAATATATCCACATACTTTTCCTTCCTCATGATGCTATCTATTTTGTGAAGTGCACCAGTCCCTCCTGCAGCAAAGCACCCCCACAGCATGATGCTGCCACCCCCGTGCTTCACAGTTGGGACGGTGTTCTTTGGTTTGCAAGCTCCCACTTTTTCCTCCAAACATAACAATGGTCATTATGGCCAAACAGTTCTATTTTTGTTTCATCAGACCAGAGGACATTTCTCCAAAAAGGACTATCTTTCTCCCCATGTGCAGTTGCAAACCGTAGTCTGGCTTTTTTATGGCGGTTTTGGAGCAGTGGCTTCTTCCTGGCTGAGCGGCCTTTCAGGTTGTCGATATAGGACTCGTTTTACTGTGGATATAGATACTTTTGTACGCGTTTCCTCCAGCATCTTCACAAGGTCCTTTGCTGTTGTTCTGGAATTGATTTGCACTTCTCGCACCAAAGTACGTTCATCTCTAGGAGACAGAACGCGTCTCCTTCCTGAGCGGTATGACGGCTGCGTGGTCCCATGGTGTTTATACTTGCGTACTATTGTTTGTACAGATGAACGTGGTACCTTCAGGCGTTTGGAAATTGCTCCCAAGGATGAACCAGACTTGTGGAGGTCAACAATTCTTTTTTCTGAGGTCTTGGCTGATTTCTTTTGATTTTCCCATGATGTCAAGCAAAGAGGCACTGAGTTTGAAGGTAGGCCTTGAAATACATCCACAGGTACACCTCCAATTGACTCAAATGATGTCAATTAGCCTATCAGAAGCTTCTAAAGCCATGACATCATTTTCTGGAATTTTCCAAGCTGTTTTAAGGCACAGTCAGCTTAGTGTATGTAAACTTCTGACCCACTGGAATTGTGATACAGTGAATTATAAGTGAAATAATCTGTCTGTAAACAATTGTTGGAAAAATTACTTGTGTCATTCACAAAGTAGATGTCCTATCCGACTATAGTTTGTTAAAAAGAAAATTTGTGGAGTGGTTGAAAACCGAGTTTTAATGACTCCAACCTAAGTGTATGTAAACTTCCGACTTCAACTGTGTGTGTGTATATATATATATATATATATATATATATATATAAATAAATAAAAAATAAAAATAAAATAAAAATAAACACACACAACCGTTCAAAAGTTTGGGGTCACTTAGAAATGTCCTTGTTTTCCATGAAAACATTCATGAAATGAGTTTGAATAGGAAATATAGCAAAATGAATAGGAAATGTAGTTATTGACAAGGTTAGAAATATATATATTTTTAAATAATAATTGTGTCCTTCAAACATTGCTTTCGTCAAAGAATCCTCAATTTGCAGCAACTACAGCCTTGCAGACCTTTGGCATTCTACTTGTCAATTTGTTGAGGTAATCTGAAGTGATTTCACCCCATGCTACCTGAAGCACCTGCCACAAGTTGGACTGGCTTGATGGGCACTTCTTACGTACCACCATACGGTCAAGCTGCTCCCACAACAGCTCATTAGGGTTGAGATCCGTTGACTGTGCTGGCCACCCCATTATAGACAGAATACCAGCTGACTGCTTCTTCCCAAAATAGTTATTGCATAGTTTGGAGCTGTGCTTTGGTTCATTGTTGTAGGAGGAAATTGGCTCCAATCAAGCGGCGTCCACAGGATATGGCATGGCGTTGCAAAATTAAGTGATAGCCTTCTTTCTTCAAGATCCCTTTTACCCTGTACAAATCTCACACTTTACCACCACCAAAGCACCCCCAGACCATCACATTGCCTCCACCATGCTTGACAGATGGCATCAAGCACTCCTCTCTAGCATATTTTCATTTTGTCTGCGTCTCACAAATGTTATTCTTTGTGATCCGAACACCTCAAACTTCAATTCGTCTGTCCATAATACTTTTTCCCCAATCTTCCTCTCTCCAGTGTCTGTGTTCTTTTGCCCATCTTAATCTTTTCTTTTTATTGGCCAGTCTGAGATATGGCTTTTTCTTGGCAACTCTGCCTAGGTCAGCATCCTGGAATCGCCTTTTCACTGTTGACGTCGAGACTGGTGTTTTGCGGGTACTATTTAATGAAGCTGTTTCTGAAACTAGACACTAATCTATTTGCTCAGTTGTGCACTGGGGCCTCCCACTCCTCTTTATATTCTGGTTAGAGCCAGTTTGAGCTGTTCTGTGAAGGGAGTAGTACACAGAGTTGTACGAGATCTTCAGTTTCTTGGCAATTTCTCGCATGGAATAGCCTTAATTTCTCAGAATAAGAATATACTGACGAGTTTCAGAAGAAAGTTATTTGTTTCCGGCCATTTTGAACCCGTAATCGAACCCACAATTGCTGATGCTCCAGATACTCAACTAGTCTCAAGAAGGCCAGTTTTATTGCATCTTTAAAATCAGCACAACAGTTTTCAGCTGTGCTAACATAATTGCAAAAGGGTTTTCTAATGATCAAATAGCCTTTTAAAATGATAAACTTGGATTAGTAAACAAAACGTGCCATTGGAACACAGGACTGATGGTTGCTGATAATGGGCCTCTGTACGCCTATGTAGATATTCCATAAAAAATCAGCTGTTTCCAGCTACAATAGCCATTTACAAGAGTTTGGACACACCTACTCATTCAAGGGTTTTTCTTTATTTTTACTATTTTCTACATTGTAGAATAATAGTGAAGACATCAAAACTATGAAATAACACATGGAATCATGTAGTAACCAAAAAAGTGTTCAACAAATCCAAATACATTTTATATTTGAGATTCTTCAAATAGCCACCCTTTGCCTTGATGACAGCTTTGCACACTCTTGGCATTCTATCAACCAGCTTCATGAGGTAGTCACCTGGAATGCATGGCAAGAACGGCTCAAATAAGCAAAGAGAAATGCCAAGAGTCCACCATTACTTTAAGACATGGTCAGTCAATATGGAACATTTGAAAAATTCTTCAAGTGCAGCCGCAAAAACCATCAAACGCTATGATGAAACTGGCTCTCATGAGGACCGCCACAGGAAAGGAAGACCTAGAGCTACCTCTGCTGCAGAGAATAAGTTCATTAGAGTTACCAGCGTCAGAAATTGCAGCCCAAATAAATGCTTCAGAGTTCAAGTAACAGACATCTCAACATCAACTGTTCAAAGGAGACTGTGAATCAGGCCTTCATGGTCGAATTGCTACAAAGAAACCACTACTAAAGGACACCAATAAGAAGAAGAGACTTGCTTGGGCCAAAAAAACACAAGCAATGGACATTAGACCGGTGGAAATGTGTCCTTTGGTCTGGAATCCAAATTGAGGATTTTTGGTTCCAACCTCCGTGTCTTTGTGACACGCGGTGTGGGTGGACGGATGATCTCTGTATGTGTATTTCCCACCATAAAGCATGGAGGAGGTGGTGTTATGGTGTGGGAGTGAAGGAAAAGCAGCCAACAAGTGCTCAGCATATGTGGGAACTCCTTCAAGACTGTTGGAAAATAATTCCAGGTGAAGCTGGTTGAGAGAATGCCAAGAGATGCAAAGCTGTCATCAAGGCAAATGGTGGCTATTTGAATATATATTGATTTGTTTAACACTTTTTTGGTTACTACATGATTCCATACGTGTTATTTCATTGTGTTGACGTCTTCACTATTATTCTACAAAAAAAACTGTAAAAATAAAGAAAAACCCTTGAATGAGTAGGTGTTCTAAAACTTTTGACTGGTAGTAAGTAAGTAAGTTAGTAAGTAAATATATATATACATACACACACACACACACACACACACACACGCATACACATAGTGCACTCGGAAAGTATTCAGACCCCTTGACCTTTTCCACATTTTGTTACAGCCTTATTCTAAAATGGATTATATCGATTCTTTCCCTCATCAATCTACACACAATACCCCATAATGACAAAGAAGAAACAGATTTGTTTTCCAAAAACGGAAATATGACATTTACATTAGTATTCAGACCCTTTACTCAGTACTATGTTGAAGCACCTTTGGCAGCGATTACAGCTTCGAGTCTTCTTGGGTATGACTCTACAAACTTGGCACACCTGTATTTGGGGAGTTTCTCCCATTCTTCTCTGCAGATCCTCTCAAGCTCTGTCAAGTTGGATGGGGAGCGTCGCTGCACAGCTATTTTCAGGTCTCTCCAGAGATGTTCGATCAGGTTCAAGTCCAGGCTCTGGCTGGGCCACTCAAGGACATTCAGAGACTTGTCCCGAAGCCACTCCTGTGTTGTCTTGGCTGTGTGCTTAGGATCGTTGTCCTGTGGAAGGTAAACCTTCGCCCCAGTCTGAGGTCCTGAGCGCTCTGGAGCAGGTTTTCATCAAGGATCTCTCTGTACTTTGCTCCGTTCATCTTTCCCTCGATCCTAACTAGTCTCCCAGTCCCTGACGCTGAAAAACATCCCCACAGCATGATGCTGCTACCACCATGCTTCACCGTAGGGATGCTGCCATGTTTCCTCCAGACGTGACGCTTAGCATTCTGGCCAACGAGTTCAATCTTGGTTTCATCAAACCAGAGAATCTTGTTTCTCATGGTCTGAGAGTCCTTTAGGTGCCGTTTGGCGACTCCAAACGGAGCCTTTTACTGAGGAGTGGCTTCTGTCTGGCCACTCTACCACAAATGCCTGATTGGTAGAGTGCTGCAGAGATGGTTGTATTTCTGGAAGGTTCTCCCATCTCCACAGAAGAACTCAAGAGCTCTGTCAGAGTGACCATAAGGTTCTTGATCACCTCCCCCCGATTGCTCAGTTTGGCCGGGTGGCCAGCTCTAGGAAGAGTCTTACTGGTTCCAAACTTCTTCCATTTAAGAATGATGGAGCCCACTGTGTTCTTGGGGACCTTCAAGGTTGCAGAAATGTGTTGGTACCCTTCCCCAGATCTGCGCTTCGACACAATCATGTCTCGGAGCTCTACGGACAACTCCTTCAACCTCATGGCTTGGTTTTTGCACTGTCAACTGTGGGACCTTATATAGACAGGTGTGTGCCTTTCCAAATCATGTCCAATCAATTGAATTGACCACAGGTGGACTCCAATCAAGTTGTAGAACCATCTCAAGGATGATCAATGGAAACAGGATGCACTCAAGCTCAATTTTGAGTCTCATAGCAAAGGGTCTGAATACTTATGTAAATAAGGTATCTGTTTTTTTTATTTTTAATACATTTGCAAACATTTCTAAAAACCTGGTGTATTGTGTGTAGATTGATGAGGAAAACGTTTTATTAATCATTTTTAGAATAAGGCTGTAACGTAACAAGACATGGGAAAAAGTCAAGGGGTCTGAATACTTTCCGAATGCACTGTGTATATGTGTGCGTGCACATCTCTGACCCACCTGAAGAGGACTCCTTTTATGACCGACCATGCGTTGGGTGGTGGAGCCGGCTGTTGCTGTGCAGGGTCCCCAGCAGCAGTCTGTACAGCCTGGCCATCCACGGCTGCAGCAGCTCCATTGCTGCTCACCTACACACAGACACACACACTACATCAAATCAGGGAATCCTAAGATAGGTTTCCATCCACTAGCAAAATATCCCCCCAAAAATATATGCACATTTTTACAGAAGTGTTTCTCTCAAACTGGCTTGTTACGGATGAAAAGCTGTGCGTGATGACATAGCCTAGTGCACATAAAAAGCACCTTTTCCGCATAAGTTTCCATGAACTTAATAAAAAGTTCAATGTGATTCCTTCGGATTTGACACAAAAACTGTTGATATCAATAGCAAACTTGCCCAATCTTGTCTTGGTGCATGCTCACTAGACAACACTGACAAAAGGAGAGTTTAGGTTTTAACAACAAAAAAAAACATAATCCATTTCACTAGCTAGGTGACAGATTAATGAGAATATTATAAACTCTAAAATGGGTTTCTATCGCATTTCCAACTCTACTGATGGTTTAAATGTTGCGTTATATAGCGAATGTACCCACTCTGGTATTGCCACGTGCGCTCTATCCAACAGCTCGCAGATATAGTGCGGGTATAGCCTACGTCAGGGTTCTTCAATTCCGGTCCTGGAGGACCGAAACATTTCTGTTTTTCATCCTCTCCTTCTAATCAGGGGCTAATTCAGACCTGGGACACCAGGTGAGTGCAATTAACTACCAGGTAGAAATAAAAAACAGAAGCGTTTCGGCCCTCCAGGACCGGAATTGAAGAACCCTGGCCTACGTGATGAGATCATTGACAAAAGAGTGAGATTATTTTAAATTTGTCTAACGGCCATCATGTCACCAGAATAAGACCCTCAATATTTATTGTAAAGGAGCATCAAGCTCATCACTTTGCACTTTCACCACCCTGTGAAGGTCATCATAATTTATTTAGCTGAATAAACTGCATGGTTTTCCGAGTCATAGTGGGAGGAGCACATATCATCGCGTGACTCCAAGTTTACTTCGATATGATGGTTTTTATATCAATATTTGCGCATAAAGCCGTTTCCACTGCCATTTCTCGCATAAAACATTTTACAGACACAAAAAGATCTCACCATGTCGAACGAACAATTTGTCTGTCGTAGGGATGCAAATGTCGGTAAATTTTGCTGCCACCTAACTGACCCTCAATAACCGGTCAACAAACGGTTACATTTTCCCCAAACAGTAACATGAGGTGCCCAACAGAAAATACTATCAGAGATCTGTATATAATGATGATATGCTTAGTCTCCGCACTAACAATGGGAGTCGTCCCAAGGCTGGAAGGCAGGCGACAAGCCCACAGAAAGCCATTGGGCATATTTTTTTTTACAGATTTTGGCGAGAGTGAAACCTCTTGCTTCGCCTCTTCCTCTCAAATACATGAAAGGACCGGACATTTTTCATTAAGAGCCTCATACAGTCAAAAGGCTATAGCCTATTATTTAACATGCAACTCCTGTGATGAAGCAGCTAATAAAACGTCATTTTAAAACATTTGCCAAAACGCAATTCACGGGAATTTTGAAAAAACTGTTCTAAACAGCGCACCTAATGCTAGCAGTTCCATACGTGTCAGAGATGGAAATCTCAGTTAGAAACTTAGAAAGAGGGGGAATCTAATAGCAACAACTAGGATGGGTTGCTAATATGACTAGGATTATGCCTTTGGCTTCTGGACATTGAAAGAAAGTTGATATGAAAACCAATTGAACAGGAGAGAAATGCTGGTTTATGGCATGAGGAAGTCTTTATATAATAATTACCTCCACATTTTCGCACGCCTACTTTAAAGCAAGGTAAGACACGGCTCATGATTTGAAGTAAAGTCAAACGTTCAGGTTTCAAACCAATATACTGCCACAAGCTCACATTGCAAAGTGGTGGGTGACGCGCTGATAGCCTTCCTACCATTGACTATAGCCTTTGCACTCAAATGGGAGGCGTGCTTTAGTTACGAGTTGAGATTGAGAAATAAAAGTTTAACCCGCAATTGCATTCAGAATTGTTATTTGCTGTGCAATGACTAGGCTGACAAAAGCACATTTCTCATCAGTACAGGCTTTTTGAGGAGCTACTCTTGCGCTGTGTGACAGGTGATCGGCTATTCTGCTCGTCAAACTAGCCTCTGTATTTAATTCCACTAAATGATGCAAATTCACCTATAGCATGACCGGTCAAATGGTTAACCGTTAACATCCCTAGTCTGTCTGCATTTATAAAATTGTACCGAAACGTCCTGTTTCCATCACAGCTGTCGTGATTTTACTTGCACAAAAACTGGATGGAAACGTGGTTACAGACACCAAAACAAATTCACCCATATCTGGTCTATTTTGTTTTGTCGAAAGTAGGACATTTTACCCAAAAGTTTGCAGTTTCCATGAACACTATTAGAAAAGATAATTGATTTACCAGCACCAGCTAAATGTTACCTAAAGCGAGCAAGACAAAAAAGAAGACCCAACCAGGGTGACTTAATGTGGCACTTTGGGGTTATCCAGTCTGGGACTCATTTCAAGAGCCACCAATGAATTAGGTGAGTCACTTATAAAGACAGTGATTTCCTTAGGCTTCTCAATTATTTACACTGCATTCATGTTCCCCTGTTAGCCCACTACTATGACCCATGATGAAGTAGCTACTTTGATAGGGTGATAAGATTTGATGTGTAAGCAAAACCTGTCTAATTAAGTTAAATGGTTTGAGGAGAGTGCAGCATGAAGGAAGCATTCCAAGCAAAGAACGTGTTAGTCAGAAAGCCCAAGCAGGGTTGCATTTTTGTCCAGTGGCACAAAAGACAAGCTCACAAGACAGGCCCCACTATCTGAAAAATCACATCTCCCCTCCATGTCACCAACACAAAAGAGACGGAAAGCAAGCCTCTAGGAACAAACTGCACTGACAGTCAAAAAGGTTTCAGTCAACACAGTGACCCCCATGGACTAAGAGGCTGAAGCTAAACAGTGCTGCATGAGTGCTTACACGTGAAGGCAGCAGTTTCCTTATGATGTTAACTGGCTGGAATGATTCCATTATCTGCGGCAGATGCTGTTTTGTTCTCGAAGTCACCCCAAGATAACCATTACACAGGATCCAACTGAATGTTATTTTCCCCAGTAAGAGATCCTTACAACTCACATTGCCAACTGGGGTTAGCATTTAACCCACTACTACTCATTCAATTCTGCCAATGGGACACAGAGTAAAAAAGTTCAAAACAACAAATGGCTGTGCCTACTGCTATGAGGCAAGACAGCCCTTATCTGTCTATCTTTAATGGGGGAATCGGAAGACAGCTGCTGCCTTGGCTCCTGTAGCATTCCTTATTGGTGAGATGAGTGACAGTATCTGAGATGAGGACCAAACTGGTTCCTATGAGAGGGAGATACTCCCAGTTGATAATCCACTGCATTCACGAGTTTCTGCGCAAACAAGCCCTGAGGACCACCACTCTGAAGGCTAGCGTGGTAAGAGGGCCTCTAGATGAGGCATTTGAAGTCGTTTTAATAACTGAACACACCTGTCAAATCAGGAGGCTTGTTGAGACACAGCAAGATATTAGGCCCCACAAATCAAAAAAAAATTTACATGCGTGGTCTCGCAGTGAAAAGCAAATGTCACGTGAACCAAAAAATTTTAATTTATGGGATCTGTTCAGAAGGGGATGACAGTCCCTTGGCATGCATGTGCACTGATGTTTTGCTGTTTGCTCTGCAACATGACAGAAAAACTTTTTCTACCTAAGCATAACTATGTATGTATGCAAATGAGTACTCATTTTGCCTCTGCCTAAACAAAAATTGTCACAGGTAAATGTTCCTCCAATTTGCAAAAGGAACTCATGGAGTTTGACTGAAGTCAACATTAGCTCGCTAACTGATGAGCAGTGGCTAGCTTGCTAATAACTAACCAGTAGATCCGACCCGCTTGCTTACAGCTGCACTTGGGTCAGACAGGCTTACCATGTAGATTGTTTAGGTTAGCCGGCGTCTCACTTGGAAAACATACCTCAATCCAGGGATGAGAAATACTTTGTACTCGGAATTGTCCCATTTTCCCAACTGTTACAGGAGAAGATTGAACGACAGTTATCAGTAGCCACAGCAGCCATTATGGAATGGCATGTCGCATTGAACAACAAAGGAGCAGATTGGCTGACACCGCAATTCCAAAATGGCTGATGTGGCTTCTGCTACCTACCATGAGGATGAAAAGGGCAGTTTTCCGGAAAAACAGCCTGGTCTCATAGACTAGACGTAACATAGTAATTGTAAATCCAGTTTTACATTTGGTATGTTACACAAGACAGATGGTTCCTTAAGGCAAAAATTAAAGCAGGGTGGTTGGTTAGGGTGGATGAATGGGCATATAACGCAAATGTCTAGCAACTCAAAGGTCGCAAGTTCGAGTCTCATCACGGACAACCAAAGCATTTTAGCAACTTTTCAACTACTTACTACTTTTTAACTACTTTGCATGTTACCTAATCCTTTTAGCTAACCCGTCCAGCAAACTTCTTAGTGTAACAGTTGGGATAATGGTAGGCTGGACAATAGAACGAGTCAAAATTCACCCAAGGCTGAAAAACGGCAATAGAACATTGGCTAAGCTGGAACACTAGCGCGAGCCCATAGCAAATGAATTGAACCAAATGTTCGAAGAGCCTCTTCTGACTGGAGTGATGCTTAGAATTCCATTTCGCCTAAATAGCACACAAAAATTGTATCCTTTTATATTACTACTACAATCTGTTCTTAGGACGAAACTGGCAAAAAAAAAATTGCATAGAAAGTAAACATCCGCACCTCGACGGTGTCAACTGTGCTTATGTCTACGTAATGAGAAAGTATGGAAAAAAACAAAAACTTCAGACTCGTTCTGGTCTAGTGATCGATGACAACCGAGCTCGCTGCCCAGACTTACATAATTGCAAAGAGGATATTCTCCTGATTTAAATGGTGTCTGACGTAAAAAAAATCTAAATATACACATTGTGAGATATTTGGCAAAATAGACCGGCATGCCTCTCCATAGGAAAACAATGGGGGGAGCTCAGCGTTCCAAGGGCAAAAATTATTTTGGGGCTAGCATTTGATGACAACAGAGCTCGCTGCCCAGACTTACATAATTAGAAAGAGGAGATTATCATGATTAAAATGGTTTCCGACTTGAAAAAATCTAAATATACAATCAAAAAATTCCCCTATAGGAAACAATGGGACGACCTCAGAGTTCCATGAGTAATTTTTTGTTGTTGTTGACGTTTTAACTACCAGCAATTGGATCAACGTGGGCAGGTCTCATTGCCAACAATAGCGAAGCAGGCATTGTGACGTAGAACAATAGGCTGGGAATAGAACATTCGGAAGGGGAGTTGGTGCCATGGTGCTCAATACAACTAATAAGAGCTGTTGTTCTGTGATTACTTCAAAACTATGGCAAGCAGCTGGGAAATATGGTATTATTATTAAACTGGGCTCCACGGCAGATGCAATTAACTCATTTTAATCAGAAAAAAACACAACACATTTCTCATCCCTGGATTGAGATATGTTTCCAAGCCATATTTTGCGCCAGCTCCGCGGTGTCTTAATCTACACAGGAAGCCTGTCTGACCCTAGTGCAGCTGTACACAACCGGGTCGGATCTGCTTGCTAGCTAATAAGATGCAACATCCATATCTAAGTAACGTTAGCTAACTAACCAAAATCTAGAAAACACATCGATGTTAGATATATTCTCAGCGACGGGCTGTGATTCGTTTGGCACACAGTTGATAGTGATAGGCAGCAGACTAGTCAATCAAGTAATAACTTTAGTCCATTGAAGAAGGCCGTGTGATTAAGGTCATGTTGGACAAATTATTCTGCTAACGAACGTTAGCTAGCTACATAGGCCGACGAAATAGCATTGCCAGTCTAGCTAGCCACTCTTGTAGCTAACTAGCTAGGTTAGCCAGCTAATAGCTAACTAGCTTAAAGCTGGCTAACCCAATCATCCACTGGCATGAGTCATGACGAGATCTGTTTCCCCAAGTACCGACCTCATAATTTTTTTCTGAAATATGTTTGTCGAACAGTTCTGTTCGCTTATCAGAAAATAACACAACTAACTTGCAAGATGCTGTAACAAACGCACCGTGAAAGGCAGGAGTCGTTTTTAAACCGACCGGCATTGACGACGTCAAAGGCTCGCGTGTGAAATGATCACACTTCAATAACATGTCTGCAGTGCGACTCACTACTCTAGTTAACCATATGCCGATATTGGTACATTCACACATTGAAGAAAGTCATACAATTTAATTCATTTTTACCTCGCCATTGGTTTGCGGAGAAGCTTCGGTCTCCTGCGACGCCATCTTCGCAGTCTCTTTCGCACACTACTGGCGATGAAATCGCAGTCCTCGCGTGAGCTCAGATAGGTACATCATCAACGTGACGTTTTTTGCGAAGAAGCAAGTCATCCCATGTTGGTATGAAGACATCTGAGGGACTTATTCTCTATTTTCAGCAGTCCCTCTTTTAAACAATAGAGGAGACAGCAGCTTGTTATATCTGCCACATTCTCTTTACCGTATGTTGTGCTTACTGTATTTGTGTCTGTTGTAACCCAGAGGTGTAAAGTACCTTTGTAAAAATACTTTAAAGTAATACTTGCAACGCCAGGGTTGTGGGTTCGATTCCCACGGGGGCCAGTATGAAAAATGCATGCACTCACTAACTGTAAGTCGCTCTGGATAAGAGCGTCTGCTAAATGACTAAAATGTAAATGTACTTAAGTAGTTTTTTGGGGTATCTGCACTTTACTATTTATATATTTTTGCCTACTTTTACTTCACTACATTCCTGAAGAAAATGATGTAGTTTTTACGGCATACATTTCCCTGATACCCAAAAGTACTTGTTACATTTTGACAGGAAAATGGTCCAATTCATGCACTTATCAAGAGAACATCCCTGGTCATCCCTACTACCTCTGATCTGGCAGACTCACTAAACACAAATGCTTCCTTTGTAAATGATGTGTTGGAGTGTGCCCCTGGCTATCCGTAAATAAATACAAACCAAGAAAATTGTGCCGTCTAGTTTACTTGATATAAGGAATTTGAAATGATTTATACTTTTGATACTTACATTTTAGCAATTCAATTGACTTATGATACTTAAGTATATTTAAAACCAAATACTTTGACTCAAATAGTATTTTACTGGGTGACTTTCACTTGAGTCATTTTCTATTAAGGTATCAAGTATGACAATTGGGTACTTTTTCCACCACTGACCATATTCCTTCCCTGTCAGGGCTTCACTGTCCAGTGTCCCACTACAACCTGACAGTTTCGGGATAAGTCAAGTGTGATGACTGAAGTGCGTGAGGACCATCGTCTCTAACCCCTGCCTAGACTAGAGATCTCTTCTACCTCTCTTTTCACCATGCATGAGGTACTTTATTTCTGTCCTGCTAATGGTGAATCAGAGTAAGATTCAGTCAAATACACCTTGATCATCACATCTGCGGGTATGTTTTTAATTTTTTATTGTGCATAAGATACCATTACACTTTGGCACATCAAAAATAACACCAGCACCTTTGAGATTTCATAAGAACAGATTGCAATTCTTGGACAAATCAGGGCCTGTCAGTTGCTGACAATGTCCGGGAAAAATATTCATTTTCTCTTCAAAAACTCACTCAACCACAAGTGACAAAACAAATGACAGATCACATGCTTTCATGAGTCAACTCTGAAGTGGCGATGAGGAGCTGTACAATGAAGCTCAGTAGAAGCAAGTATAAGATGTGTCATCCATATCAAAAGTGCATTGTCGTCAGCTGAGCGCTCAGCTGAACTGCATGCTGTCAATGTGCATAGCTGGTGTTCAGACATTTGAAGTGTTGAGTGTTAGAAGCAGTTTCCAGAATCTAGAACAGGGACATGACCTACAACAACAAAGGGCTTTATGGTACAATAACCATTGAATATTAAATAAACTTAACATTTTGCCTCTAGTCAGTAAAACTAGATATTTTGTTACTTTTATTATTTAATTATTGCATTCCAAAGCATGGGATTTATTAAAGTTTGATAGAACCCTGGCCTGGGTTGATAATTGACATTTGATGAACATTGTGGTGCTTTTTATGACTGCCCATTATCCATTTAGAATCTAGGATGTGATGGGCAATTCAAGGTTTAACTCAAAAGTCTGAGGACATCAATTTAGGAATGCTTGCTTTCTACATCCACTGGATCAAAGGAACTAGTAGGACCACATGGTTATCATTTACATTAAATATATCCAACAATGTAGTTGTAATAAGGCATCAAAGACTTTGTACTTTAATTCGAGAGCTTTTCTCAACTATCCTCATTCAATATACAGTAAATTCCACATTTAAAGATGCAGTCCTGGATCTTACACAACAAATTTGTAAAATATGGCACGAATTGGATTTGTAACACATGAATTGCAAAATACATATCATACAAATTGCCAAATTCGTATCATATCACACAAAATGAAAGACATAGTACACAATTGGATGATATAGTACACAAAAAACAGGGACCAGTTTCAGCTCATGAGCGCCACTTTCAAAACTACTGTGAAATTACTTATGTAAACAAGGTATCTGTAAATGACTAAAAATCAAGGGGTCTGAATACATTCCAAATGCACTGTACAGATTGAATAAAACATAGATCACTTACATTTACATTTTAGTCATTTAGCAGACACACTTGAATATGATTTGGAACCCAACAGTCTGATCTGATACAGAATGCTAGTGATGAATATTAGTAGTCGTCTTCCATCTTGGAACAACTCATCATTGAGCAGTGTAATTGAGTGGGGGCAGCGGGTACTTATGAAGGGAAAGTAATGCATAAGAGGTCCACTTCATACCCTTCGACAGCATTCACATGAAACGTTGACTAGGTTAGATCCTCCCATGATGGTTTACGCACTTTCTGCACCTAATTTCAATTCTGATATCAAACACCACAAGAGAGGTCCTACATTAGATTTGGTCCTAGGTGATACTGCCTCCTCCCCCAGTTGCAGCTCTCTATAGTCCAACCCATACCTCCCTGACCAGCGCAAAACAAAAGAAAGTTATTAAATCGCAATGACACTGTCCCTCGCCCTGGGTTCGAAATCGGACTGGAGGTCAAAGTTGAACTTTTGTTGACCCCATCTGCCCACACCCTTTGACTGGGTGACAGCATCACAGTCCTACATCTCATCCAGACCGTAGTCTTCCTCTGGGAAGTCCCCCACAGTCACCGTCAGGGGCCTGACAAACGCACCGTACTTGTTCTCACATTCAAAGTATCGCTTCTCCTTCACACTGTAAGGAAAGAGAGGAGACATCAAGTACATTTGTGCAGACCGGATGAGTTTCTCTGTCCTCTCCATAGGTCTAATACCAGAAAAACAAGTCAAGATGCAAGGTAGATCTTAACAGTGAACATTCTCAGACACCATGTGATGTCACAAAATTATGCCAGTTGCCCTCACCTGCCGTCATGTTTCCCAAGAGGCTCGTCATACTTCACTCCCACCCAATGACCTGGCTTGAAATCTACTGTACCTGCAAGACATAAAATAAGTGTTTTCTGTTGGAATAAAGAGTGCCTTAAGTATTCATACCCCTTGACTTATTCCACATTTGTTGTTACATTATTCAGAATACAAAATGTATTAAAAAAAAAAAAAAAACATCTACACACAAGTCCAACCATCTACACACAATACCCCATACTGACAGTGAAAACTGGTTTTTAGAAATGTTCGCACATTTATTGAAAATGAAATACAGAAATATTTCAATTACATAAGTATACACAACCCTGAGTCAATACTTTGTAGAAGCACCTTTGGCAGTGATTACAGCTGTGAGTCTTTCTGGGTAAGTCTCTTAAGAGCTTTCCACAAATGGATTGTGCAACATTTGCCCATTCATCTTTTTTTTAATTCTTCAAGCGCTGTCAAATTGGTTGTTGATCATTGCTGGACAACCATTTTCAGGTCTTGCCATATATTTTCAAGTAGATTTAACTCAAAACTGTAACTCGGCCACTCAGGAACATTCACCGTCTTCTTGGTTTATTTTTATTTTTATTTTTTTTAATTTTTTTTCACCTTTATTTAACCAGGTAAGCCAGTTGAGAACAGGTTCTCATTTACAACTGCGACCTGGCCAAGATAAAGCATAGTAGTGCAATAAAAACAACAACACAGAGTTACATATGGGGTAAAAAACATAAAGTCAGAAATACAACAGAAAATATATATACAGTGTGTGCAAATGTAGCAAGTTATGGAGGTAAGGCAATAAATAGGCTATAGTGCAGAATAATTACAATAGTATTAACACTGGAATGCTAGATGTGCAAGAGATTATGTGCAAATAGAGATACTTGGTAAGCAACTCCAGTGTAGATTTGGCCTTGTGTTTTAGGTTAATGTCCTGCTGAAAGGTGAATTAAGCTCCCAGTGTCTGGTGGAAAGCAGACAACCAAATCTTCCTCTAGGATTTTGCCTGTGCTTAGCTCCATTCCGTTTCTTTTTTATCCGGAAAAACTCCCCAGTCCTTAACAATTACAAGCATACCCAAAACATCCTGCAGCCACCACTATGCTTGAAAATCTGGAGTGGATTTCCCCCAAACATCACACTTTGTATTCAGGACAACTTATGTGACTTGTTAAGCAACTTTTTACTCAAACTTATTTAGGCTTGCCATAACAAAGACATTTCAGCTTTTCAATTCAACTTTGACATTATAGGGTAGTGTGTGTAGGCCAGTGACAAAAAAAAAACTCCCCAATTTAATCCATTTTAAAATCAGGCTGTAACCAAAAATCTGAAACAGTCAAGAGGTGTGAATACTTTCTGAAAGTATTCAGACCCCTTGACCTTTTCCACATTGTTACGTTACAGCCTTATTCTAAAATGGATTCAATAAAACATTTCTCAATCTACACACAATTCCCCATAATAACAAAGCGAAAAGTTGTGAAAGTTTAGCAAATTTATAAAAAATGTTAAACAGAAAAACCTTATTTACATAAGTATTCAGACCCTTTGCTATGAGACTCGAAATTGAGCTCATGTGCATCCTGTTTCCATTGATCATCCTTGTGATGTTTCTACAGCTTGATTGGAGTCCACCTGTGGTCAATTCAATTGATTGGACATGATTTGGAAAGACACACACTTGTCTATATAAGGTCCCACCGTTGACAGTGCATGTCAGAGCAAAAACCAAGCCATGAGGTCGAAGGAATTGTCCGTAGAGCTCCGAGACAGGATTGTGTTGAGGCAAAGATCTGGGGAAGGTTACCAAAAAATGTCTGCAGCATTGAAGGTCCCCAAGAACACAGTGGCCTCCATCATTCTTAAATGGAAGAAGTTTGGAACCAACAAGACCCTTCCTAGAGCTTGCCGCCCAGCCAAACTGAGCAATCGGGGGAAAAGGGCCTTGGTCAGGGAGGTGGCCAAGAACCTGATTGTCACTCAGAGAGCTCCAGAGTTCCTCAGTGGAGATGGGAGAACCTTCCAGAAGAACAACCATCTCTGCAGCACTCCACCAATCAGGCCTTTATGGTAGAGTGGCCAGATGGAAGCCACTCCTCAGCAAAAGGCACATGACAGCCTGCTTGGAGTTTGCCAAAAGGCACCTAAAGACTCAAGATCATGAGGAAACAAGATTCTCTGGTCTGATGAAACCAAGATTGAACTCGTTGGCCTGAATGCCAAGTGTCATGTCTGGAGGAAACCTGGCACCATCCCTACGGTGAAGCATGGTGGCGGCAGCATCATGCTGTGGGGATGTTTTTCAGCGGCAGGGACTGGCAGACCAGTCAGGATCGAGGGAAAGATGAACGGAGCAAAGTACAGAGAAATCCTTGATGAAGTCCTGAGCGCTCTGGAGCAGGTTCTCAGACTGGGGCTAAGGTTCACCTTCCAACAGGACAACGACCCTAAGCACACAGCCAAGACAACGCAGGTGTGGCTTCGGGACAAGTCTCTGATTGTCCTTGAGTGGCCCAGCCAGAGCCCGGACTTGAACCCGATCTAACATCTCTGGAGAGTTCTGAAAATAGCTGTACAGCAACGCTCCCCATCCAACCTGACAGCGCTTGAGAGGATCTGCAGAGAATGGGAGAAACTTCCCAAATACAGGTGTCAAGCTTGTAGCGTCATACCCAAGAAGACTTGAGGCTGTAATCGCTGCCAAAGGTGCTTCAACAAAGTACTTAGTAAAGGGTCTGAATACCTATGTAAATGTGATATTTCCGTTTTTTATTTGTAATACATTTGCAAAAATTAGATGAGGAAATAAAACAATTTAATCAATTTTAGAATAAGGCTGAAACTGAACAAAATGTGGAAAAAGTCAAGGGGTCTGAATACTTTCCGAATGCACTGTATATAGCATTGGCTTGGTCTTTTAGACAAAAAATAATTCATAAAAAGGTAGTTAAACCTGGAATCTGTGGCTGAGAGAGGACAAAACAAAACTCCTTTCAAATTACTTAATGGGAGTGAAATCAGTTATTAACTTTGCTGTCAACCACCCAAAATGGTAATCCACTACTGCTTGACTGTCCCTTGGACAGAGGAGATATGATCCATATATATATATATATATATATACATACACACACACATACACACACACATATACACTGCTCAAAAAAATAAAGGGAACACTAAAATAACACATCCTAGATCTGAATGAATGAAATAATCTTAATAAATACTTTTTTCTTTACATAGTTGAATGTGCTGACAACAAAATCACACACAAATTATCAATGAAAATCAAATGTATCAACCCACGGAGGTCTGGATTTGGAGTCACCCTCAAAATTAAAGTGGAAAACCACACCACAGGCTGATCCAACTTTGATGTAATGTCCTTAAAACAAGTCAAAATGAGGCTCAGTAGTGTGTGTGGCCTCCACATGCCTGTATGACCTCCCTACAACACCTGGGCATGCTCCTGATGAGGTGGCGGATGGTCTCCTGAGGGATCTCCTCCCAGACCTGGACTAAAGCATCCGCCAACCCCTGGACAGTTGTGGTGCAACGTGGCGTTGGTGGATGGAGCGAGACATGATGTCCCAGATGTGCTCGATTGGATTCAGGTCTGGGGAACGGGCGGGCCAGTCCATAGCATCAATGCCTTCCTCTTGCAGGAACTGCTGACACACTCCAGCCACATGAGGTCTAGCATTGTCTTGCATTAGGAGGAACCCAGGGCCAACCGCACCAGCATATGGTCTCACAAGGGGTCTGAGGATCTCATCTCGGTACCTAATGGCAGTCAGGCTACCTCTGGCGAGCACATGGAGGGCTGTGCAGCCCCCCAAAGAAATGCCACCCCACACCATGACTGACCCACCGCCAAACCGGTCATGCTGGAGGATGTTGCAGGCAGCAGAACGTTCTCCACGGCATCTCCAGACTCTGTCACGTCTGTCACATGTGCTCAGTGTGAACCTGCTTTCATCTGTGAAGAGCACAGGGCGCCAGTGGCGAATTTGCCAATCTTGGTGTTCTCTGGCAAATGCCAAACCTCCTGCACAGTGTTGGGCTGTAAGCACAACCCCCACCTGTGGACGTTGGGCCCTCATGGAGTCTGTTTCTGACTGTTTGAGCAGACACATGCACATTTGTGGCCTGCTGGAGGTCATTTTGCAGGGCTCTGGCAGTGCTCCTCCTGCTCCTCCTTGCACAAAGGTGGAGGTAGCAGTCCTGCTGCTGGGTTGTTGCCCTCCTACGGCCTCCTCCACGTCTCCTGATGTACTGGCCTGTCTCCTGGTAGCGCCTCCATGCTCTGGACACTACGCTGACAGACACAGCAAACCTTCTTGCCACAGCTCGCATTGATGTGCCATCCTGGATGAGCTGCACTACCTGAGCCACTTGTGTGGGTTGTAGACGCCGTCTCATGCTACCACTAGAGTGAAAGCACTGCCAGCATTCAAAAGTGACCAAAACATCAGCCAGGAAGCATAGGAACTGAGAAGTGGTCTGTGGTCACCACCTGCAAAACCAGTCCTTTATTAGGGGTGTCTTACTAATTGCCTATAATTTCCACCTGTTGTCTATTCCATTTGCACAACAGCATGTGAAATTTATTGTCAATCAGTGTTGCTTCCTAAGTGGACAGTTTGATTTCACAGAAGTGTGATTGACTTGGAGTTACATTGTGTTGTTTAAGTGTTCCCTTTATTTTTTTGAGCAGTATAATTAATTAATTATTATATATATATACACACACATACAGTGAGGGAAATAATTATTTGATCCCCTGCTGATTTTGTACGTTTGCCCACTGACAAAGAAATTATCAGTCTATAATTTGAATGGTAGATTTATTTGAACAGTGAGAGACAGAATAACAACAAAAAAAATCCAGAAAAACGCATGTAACATTTTTTTTCAATTGATTTGCATTTTATTGAGGGAAATAAGTATTTGACCCCCTCTCAATCAGAAAGATTTCTGGCTCCCAGGTGTCTTTTATACAGGTAACGAGCTGAGATTAGGAGCACACTCTTAAAGGGGGTGCTCTTAATCTCAGTTTGTTACCTGTATAAAAGACACCTGTCCACAGAAGCAATCAATCAATCAGATTCCAAACTCTCCACCATGGCCAAGACCAAAGAGCTCTCCAAGGATGTCAGGGACAAGATTGTAGACCTACACAGGGCTGGAAAGGGCTACAAGACCATCGCCAAGCAGCTTGGTGAGAAGGTGACAACAGTTGGTGCGAATATTCGCAAATGGAAGAAACACAAAAGAACTGTCAATCTCCCTCGGCCTGGGGCTCCATGCAAGATCTCACCTCGTGGAGTTGCAATGATCATGAAAACGGTGAACTACAGCCCAGAACTACACGCAAGGATCTTGTCAATGATCTCAAAGCAGCTGGGACCATAGTCACCAAGAAAACAATTGGTAACACACTACGCCGTGAAGGACTGAAATCTTGCAGCGCCTGCAAGGTCCCCCTGCTCAAGAAAGCACATATACAGGGACATCTGAAGTTTGCCAATGAACATCTGAATGATTCAGAGGAGAACTGGGTGAAAGTGTTGTGGTCAGATGAGACCAAAATTGAGCTCTTTGGCATCAACTCAACTCGCCATGTTTGGAGGAGGAGGAATTCTGCCTATGACCTCAAGAACACCATCCCCACCGTCAAACATAAAGGTGGAAACATTAAGCTTTGGGGGTGTTTTTCTGCTAAGGGGACAGGACAACTTCACCGCATCAAAGGGACGATGGACGGGGCCATGTACCATCAAATCTTGGGTGAGAACCTCCTTCCCTCAGCCAGGGCATTGAAAATGGGTCGTGGATGGGTATTCCAGCATGACAATGACCCAAAACACACAGCAAAGGCAACAAAGGAGTGGCTCAAGAAGAAGCACATTAAGGTCCTGGAGTGGCCTAGCCAGTCTCCGGACCTTAATCGCATAGAAAATCTGTGGAGGGAGCTGAAGGTTCGAGTTGCCAAACGTCAGCCTTGAAACCTTAATGAATTGGAGAAGATCTGCAAAGAGGAGTGGAACAAAATCCCTCCTGAGATGTGTGAAAACCTGGTGGCCAACTAAAAGAAACGTCTGACCTCTGTGATTGCCAACAAGGGTTTTGCCACCAAGTACTAAGTCATGTTTTGCAGAGGGGTCAAATACTTATTTCCCTCATTAAAATGCAAATCAATTTATAACATTTTTGACATGCATTATTCTGGATTTTTTTGTTGTTATTCTGTCTCTCACTGTTCAAATAAACCTTCCATTAAAATTATAGACTGATCATGTCTTTGTCAGTGGGCAAATGTACAAAATCAGCAGGGGATCAAATACTTTTTTCCCTCACTGTATATATTTATTTGTAAGAGTGAACATAAAATGGTTTAGTGAGCAATTATCAATGCGTGGGAAAACTATTGTGTTGACCTAAACAAAAAATTACGGTTGCCCTGTTCAAATGACAATCCTCACTAGCACAGGCCTAAATCTAGCCACGAATCCGAGAGGGGAAGACTCCTTTCTACATTTTAGTCATTTAGCAGACGCTCTTATCCAGAGCGACTTACAGTTAGTGAGTGCATACATTTTCATACTGGCCCCCCGTGGGAAACGACCCTGGCGTTGCAAGCGCCATGCTCTACCAACTGAGCTATACGGGGGGCTCTCTCATGTAGGCTCACTTTTTGTGAACAGTCCAATCACAACTCAGACTGTTGAATAAACTTAATTTGAACGTACTTTACGTGTTGTCTGCTGATTTTGTCCTTACGTAGGTGGTCATGAGACAAAATATCCACAGGGATGTGTTATTAGCCCGACTTTCAGTGCGCTGGTCTGAAGATGGTTGGTATTTCCGGTTTTTATTTTCAATACTGATGCAATTCGCACGTGACAAACACTTGCACAATATGGCAGAGCCTAACCGAACCACAGCTGATTGCGAGGAAACATGCTTCGGTCGACTACATTCGGCCATTGTTGACATATTGTACATCACGTGCGTTGCGTGAAGAGAATGAAAATATAAGTGACAGAACCTACCGGCGTATTTTTAGGGCGACTTCAGTCAGACTGATAAGCCATTGAGTAACCATGGTAACAGTCTGATGTTTAGACAAGCCTAAATCCTTTTGTGGAAAATAAGCATAAGCTTCAACCTCACTCACCAACATACATAACGGTGCCAATCTTGGTGGGTAGCCCAACAACCTGCACTTGGCAGCGGTTGCCAACGTCGATGGCGGAAGCAGCAGCCTCCTCCTCGGCCTCGTGAGCTGCAAGCTCCGCCTCCTTTTTAGCCGTCTCTTCTTCATTGAAGCGACCAACACGTTGCTTCTTCATGAATGACCTTACAGAGTCTGAGGAAGAAGATGGACAATTCACTATGAAATTCCTGTATTACAATGGTAATAGTTTGTCAATCAATCATTACGTAATGTGCTAAGGAAAAGTTTTGCCATGGAACCTCAAACTGAAAGGTAACAGGATGAGAGCAGTTGTGCTAAGTATCACTAACACTCTGTTGTGGCACAAAAAGTGGTAAGTGGCTTTCAACAAGTCTTTTCTTCACTGCTTCTGATTCAATTTCAAATTCCTCAAATACAGAAGTGAAGGAATGTAGGCATACGCTTTAGCTGTGAATGATGGACGATAGTGCAAGCTCACAATCCTGACCTAGTGAGATATACATGGAGGGGGCTCAATCAAGCTAGTTCTCTTGACTACTTTATGTCATTCTCTCTGGCACCAAAAGTTCAAAAAGTGTTGATGGGGTCAAAATGCGGTCGGACCATCAAATATTTGGCAAATAAACTCAGTTAAAAAAGAAACATCCCTTTTTCAGGACCCTGTCTTCCAAAGATAATTCGTAAAAATCCAAATTACTTCACAGATATTCATTGTAAAGGGTTTAAACACTGTTTCCCATGCTTGTTCAATGAACCATAAACAATTAATGAACATGCACCTGTGGAATAGTCGTTAAGACACTAAAAGCTTATAGATGGTAGGCAATTAAGGTCACAGTTATGAAAACTTAGGACACTGAAGAGGCCTTTCTACTGACTATGAAAAACACCAAAAGAAAGATGCCCAGGGTCCCTGCTCATCTGTGTGAACGTGCCTTAGGCTTGCTGCAAGGAGGCATGAGGACTGCAGATGTGGCCAGGGCAATAAATTGCAATGTCCGTACTGTGAGGCGCCTAAGACAGCGCTACAGGGAGACAGGATGGACAGCTGACCGTCCTCGCAGTACATCACACATGCGGGACAGGTACAGGATGGCAACAACAACTGCCCAAGTTACACCAGGAACGCACAATCCCGCCATCAGTGCTCAGACTGTCCGCAATAGGCTGAGAGAGGCTGGACTGAGGGCTTGTAGGCCTGTTGTAAGGCAGACATCACCGGCAACAACATCGCCTATGGGCACAAACCCACCGTCGCTGGACCAGACAGGACTGGCAAAAAGTGCTCTTCATTGATGAGTCGCGGTTTTGTCTCAACAGGGGTGATGGTCGGATTCGCGTTTATCGTCGAAGGAATGAGCGTTACACCGAGGCCTGTACTCTGGAGCGAGATCGATTTGGAGGTGGAGGGTCCGTCATGGTCTGGGGCGGTGTGTCACAGCATCATCGGACTGAGCTTGTTGTCATTGCAGGCAATCTCAACGCTGTGCGTTACAGGGAAGACATCCTCCTCCCTCATGTCGTACCCTTCCTGCAGGCTTATCCTGACATGACCCTCCAGCATGACAATGCCACCAGCCATTCTGCTCGTTCTGTGCGTGATTTCCTGCAAGACAGAAATTTCAGAGTTCTGCCACGGCCAGCGAAGAGCCCGGATCTCAATCACATTGAGCACGCCTGGGACCTGTTGGATCGGAGGATGAGGGCTAGGGCCATTCCCCCCCAGAAATGTCCGGGAACTTGCAGGTGCCTTGGTGGAAGAGTGGGGTAACATCTCACAGCAAGAACTGGCTAATCTGGTGCAGTCCATGAGGAGATGATGCACTGCAGTACTTAATGCAGCTGGTGGCCACACCAGATACATACTTACTTTTGATTTTGACCCCCCCTTTGTTCAGGGACACATTATTAAATTTCTGTTAGTCTGTGGAACTTGTTCAGTTTATGTCTCAGTTGTTGAATCTTATGTTCATACAAATATTTACACATGTTAAGTTTGCTGAAAATAAACGCAGTTGACAGTGAAAGGACGTTTATATTACTCTTACAGAATTTCCACATGGTCGCGGATATTGGAAATGTAATCACAGCCTATTGGATGATAACTTGTTTTTAACTAGGACAGAATAATTTATAACCAACTTTTTCCGACATAAATGTCCAGCAGATCCCCTTATTGAATGGGACACTTAAAATGTGCCTTTAGAGGCCATGCAATTCAGTACTCATCTCTAAGACAAAAGCAATTTAGGTCAAAAGAATCCATATTAACAAATGCAATGGAGGGACTAACAGTACAGATAGCGATAAAAAACTGTACCATAGAGGCACAGAATAAGTTAGAGGAAAAACAAAAAAAAATGGAGGAACTTATTCAAGAAAGATCAAGTGTAACATATTATAAAAATTAAGCAAACTGGATGGAATATGGGGGAAAATGCACCAAATTCAAAAATAATTTACTGAAACAAATTACAGATTAACTCATGATTCACCAAACAATATTTTGAAAGAGGAAGTTAAGTACTTTAAGCATATGGTTTTCGTTTCAGTCTCCATCTCCACTAACCAAAGCTAATTGTATGGATTTTCTTTCTATGAATAATGGAAAATTAACAGCTGTACAGAAAGACTAATGTGAAGGCCAAATTACAGAGGAAGAACTTCTTGATGCAATTAAAGCCTTTAAGTCCGGGAAAACTCCAGGGCTGGAAGGCATACCAAACCTTTTTGATATACTCAGAGGATCATTATTAGCATGTTTAAACCACTCAACAAGAAGGTCTGATTTCATTATTACTGAAACAGGATCCAAGAGGTAAATATAAAGATCCAGTCACATCAAAGAAATTGGCCTCTTACCCTCAGTGTTGTGATGCAAAAATTATAGAAAAAAGCATAGAATTTAAAATGGTATTGTCGGATATTATTCAAACTAATCAGACACGATTTTTACATGGACGATACATTGGAGATAATATAAGACAAGTACTGGAAACAATAGAACACTATGAAAAATCAGGGAAACAAGGCCTGGTATTCATAGCAGACTTTGAAAAGGTTTTTGATAAAGTACGACTGGAGTTTATATATAAATGCATGGAATATTTCAATTTTGGAGAATCTCTTATAAAAAATTGGTTAAAATTATGTATAGTAACCCTAGGTGTAAAATAGTAAATAATGGCTACTTCTCAGAAAGTTTTAAACTGTCAAGAGGAGTTAAACAAGGTAGTCCACTATCGGCATATCTATTTTAAAAAAAGTAATTTCCTCACTGCCTCTGATTCAATTTCAAATTCCTCAAATACAAAAGTGAAAGAATGTAGGCATACGCTTTAGCTGTGAATCAGTGTTTCCGCTGCACACTGATTTTGCCGTGGCGCTGTGCCACGGCAAAATCATTGCCACTACGCAACACAAAATATGGAACATGGACAAATATTTCTGCTGAGGCACATTTTGAAGATGCTACAACATTCCACATCTACTTTTCCTCTTCAAACAAAACGAGTAATTAATAGAAAAATCGAACAACCCCATAGAATAGTTTATCTATTTACCTAGTCGGCTTGTTGTTGTGTTCTATGCTAGATAAATATTCCTCTCGTGGCGCATTCATGTTATAAGTGCCATAGGGAGGGAAACATGCATTCTGACAAGCAGTCAATGCACAACAATTCTTGCAATCGCGAAAACAGCAGTTTTAATGGCTTTTGTTAAAAAGCGGGGAATCCCAGCTTTCCATTCCTACTTTATTTATGTCTAAACTCCTAAATATGCGCGACCTGTTGCCATTTTAAACCCGGGGCTTTTAGCAGAAGCATGGTTAAGCACATTACCCCTCAGCAATTTGCAGTGAGTGCATAGGGGAGAGTGGGGCTAAATGTAACACCGGTCAATTGTAGGGTGACTTGGGGTACAACGCCTCTACCTCAAAATAATTTCTTTGGAATGACTTTAAAAAATTGTGATGAGACAGAATCTTAATGTTGAGCAAGAGTAGTGGAACCCAGGGAATGTTTTGGGGGGGAAATTGTGACATTAAGTGGTGTTTGTGATTAGTACAGGCAGGGGGCATTTTACCCCGGGTGGCGAGTTACCCTAACAGGTAGGCCTGCTTTATATTCAGTGTTTATGCAAGTTTTTTGGGACATCAAATTCATCAATATGATAACTAGTTAAAAGATCACATTTGAGATCTGGCTAACGATTAGCCCAATAGGGTAAATGCAGATAGGCAACCACATGCTTCAGCCTATTTATTTGTACTTCGCTGCATCAGTTGGTCTAAAGGTGATAATGTTTATTGCTAATAGCATACCTGATAATGTGGACCATGCATAGGCTATTTACTGTATTTACTGTTATTGGGCTAATTTCTGGAGGCGAAAATTATATTTTAGATGGTGTCAGCATACTTATTTTAATTCATTTTGGAGTAGAGGGACCCCTCACTTCGCAACCTTTTCCCCCCACTGTTAAAAATGAAACACTGCTGTGAATGATGGACGATAGTGCAAGCTCACAGTACCTGTCCTCTTCTCATAGACCTCATCTGGAATCTCAAATTTCTCCACTTTAGACAGATCACTGAACTCTCCGCTCTGGGCTCCACTGCGGTCGATCACCTAAGCACACATAATTCACTATTACCCTGACTCAGCATATTGAATAAAAAATAACAGAATGGCTCAGTCATTGTACCGGTGCCAGTCAGTTTCTGCTTTTCGCCAACTGGTCGTTGTTTAGCCCAGTAAGACAAGTATGGCAAGGCAACAATATAACCTTGTTGAATGCAGAAAGAGACTGACACTCAAGCTAGCAAAGTCATGCTGTGGTCAGCAATCTTGTGAGCTTTGAAATTGCTTGTAGGTTAAGAGACCCCCGTCAACAGATCTAACAGTAGGTCCCATCTTACACATGACTAATGTGAATAAAGGTAAACAGGGGACATACCATGTGGGTGTCATGTGAGCAGTGTTTCTGAGCACAGAAGTACATACGTGAATTTTGCAGTCATCATCCACAGGGTAGGAACCTAGCAGGGCCTCGTTGTCGTCCAGTTTCTGCATGAACTTGTCAGTGGTACTGAAAAGCTGCAGTTCCATGCTGGAGGCCGGGGTACCCACAACCATCTCCAATTTACCCTGGAGGGGGAAAAAATGGACCATGAGAAACTGCATCACATGGCCACAGGCTGTGCTGCACCTGCGGTCGAAGTGTCTGCAGACAGAGGGGCAATTGCTACATTATTAAGTTTTAGAGGCACGAAGAGCAAATTACCAACATAAATTACCTTGAATTCGGCGATGGTGATTCCCCTGTTGTATCGTTTATTCACCTCGAACGAACTGATGGTACTGGTCAGCCGCACCGACACAGTCGGATTGGTGATCACTGTCACGCCACCGTCCATTTTCAAGCTTTCGTTTCGCCGGTATTGAACTTATTTAGGTAACAACGACCACTGCATAAAATTCAAATAATAGTTAGTCAGCTAGCTAACATTCTTACCTTATGAAATAGTACACAACAGTTGCAAATGGCTTTCAACATGGCTAGCTAGTTAGATATAACGTTTACAGTTTAGACAAAGAAAACTAACGTTAGCTAGCTAACGTTACAGTAGCTAGCTAGCACGCACTCAGCAAGCTTCAGAAAGTTAGCTAGCTAACGTGTCCTTCCAGCTTGGTCGCTCACAAATAGTTACCTGTCCTTCTGCGCTTTTCTTGACGATCTCTATAAATAAGTAGCAACTATCAAATCACTGGGTGTTTTTAGACGAAAACAATCAAGGTACCATGTGCTGTAACCTCAGTGAATGGGTGACTGGCGGATGTGTTGTTCACCTCAAAGACACAACCCACAGATCCTGCAACGCCCAGTTCTGGAACCTTCTACCCTCCCACAACCGCAGGGAACCAGTCGTGTCATTAAAATGTCGGGTGGGTATTTACGTTGACCAATGGGTAGCACATTTATAATATGTCGTAACAGAAATAAAGCCTTTGGGATGCCTACGTAGGCACGTCAATCATGTTGATAGAAGTGGCCTTTCATGATGTAAGTCACCAATCATCAATGTGGGAATCAATGCGGGGTTTTGGGTGAAAGTGCCACGCCCAAATTATGGAAGTATCATTTGTATTCACGTAGTAGCGCTATAAACCATGGTATAATGACCAAATTGTTAATTTTGTAACAAAGTCATGCAATGTTAGCTACATTGTTACAAACAATGTTGAATTGCGATAAAAGCACATTTTTTATCAGTGCATTGAATAATTTTGAAGTTAGTCTGTTGATTGAATTCATGTTGTCAAGTGCAGAATAAGATAATAATTTAATTCCTTGCGAAGGTGCTCACTGCTTTATGACATATTAATCACAGTGAAAAAGAGACACATGGTTAACTTTGAAAAGTTATTACCAGGCCCTGTCTTTGACATATAATGGTTGTCTACTCCAATATCTACTCATTGATTTATGAGATGAAATAAACAGATCAGACAGGAACATAAAATAACATCTGTGCATCAAAGTAGAATTTAGGCCTGAGAGTGGGAGTTTGAGAGCTTGTATGGTCAGAAAATACAAGATCAAAGAAAGGAGTATGGGGTGCAGCCAGAAGCCAGACCACCACCCCACTACCCCCACCCCTAGAGGAAAAGTTTACATTCCTGTTTCAAGTTGAGATGGTGGTGTTTGGCCTTGCCTCATCACACTCTGTCTGTCTGCACATCCAGGTGTACGTGCTGCTGTTCACAGTAGGCCACAGCTCTCTCTCATTCATAAAGTAAAACTCTCTCTGTCACACACACACATACCATCTCTCTCACTTGGTCATACTCTTCATTCTCCAGGGAACTCATAATAATACACACAATCATCTGCATTTGTTTATTCTAACAGACACGCAAAATAAAGTCACAAATTCGCACATTGTCTGTCATTCTTATATTTACACAAACCAATCAAACCAGCTCTTGTACCAACCCCACGCTTTTCAATTAACATAAGGTGAAAATTCTGCACATTTTAATTATAAAACAACATTCAAATCATGGCACTGTGTGTGTGTGTGTGTGTGTTGCACTGAGAGCATTTGGATAGAGAAACCACACCAGGTGCTCATTCAGATGCCAGCTGAGGAACTGGAGAGACAACGATCAACCATCTAAAGTCTAAACAGACAGCAGAGAAAGAACACACAGTACACAGACGGAGGCAGTGCAGGGGTTAGTTCACCAGTACGCCTATCGCACAGATGGCAAGAGCTGATCCTGCTCAATTCAACTGTTCATGTGAAATCAACAGTCTTTGAGATCAGTAAACAAATGGACAAATCAAATCAAATTTTATTTGTCACATACACGTGTTTAGCTGATGTTATTGCGGGTGTAGCGAAATGCTTGTGCTTCTAGCTCCTACAGTGAAGTAATATCTAACAATTTCACAAATATACCCAATACACACAAATCTAAGTAAGGAATGGAATTTAAGAATATATATAGTCGTGGTCAAAAGTTTTGAGAATGACACAAGTATTGGTCTTCACAAAGATCGCTGCTTCAGTGTTATGAGATATTTTTGTCAGATGTTACTATGGTATACTGAAGTATAATTACAAGCATTCCATAAGTGTCAAAGGCTTTTATTGACAATTACATTAAGTTTATACAAAGAGTCAATATTTGCAGTGTTGACCCTTCTTTTTCAAGATCTCTGCAATCCGCCCTGGCATGCTGTCAATTAACTTCTGGGCCACATTCTGACTGATGGCAGCCCATTCTTGCATAATCAATGCTTGGAGTTTGTCCGAATTTGTGGGGTTTTGTTTGTCCACCCGCCTCTTGAGGATCGACCACAAGTTCTCAATGGGATTAAGGTCTGGGGAGTTTCCTGGCCATGGACCCAAAATGTTGATTTTTTGTTCCCCGAGCCACTTAGTTATCACTTTTGCCTTGTGGCAATGTGCTCCACCATGCTGGAAAAAGCATTGTTCATCACCAAACTGTTCTTGGATGGTTGGGAGAAGTTGCTCTCGGAGGATGTGTTGGTACTATTCTTTATTCATGGCTGTGTTCTTAGGCAAAATTGTGAGTGAGCCCACTCCCTTGGCTGAGAAGCAACCCCACTGTCACGATCGCCGACAGATGAAGCGGACCAAGGCGCAGCGTGATTAGCGTACATTCTTTATTAAGTACACACACGAACCAAAACAACAAACGAAACGATACGTGAAGTCCTAGGTTATACACAAAACCTTACGGAACAAGATCCCACAAAACTAAGATGCCAAAAGGCTGCCTAAGTATGGTCCCCAATCAGAGACAACGAGCTACAGCTGTCTCTGATTGGGAACCACCCTGGCCAACATAGAAATAAACGATCTAGAACACAACCCATAGAAAACTAAACATAACAAGTCCACACCCTGGCTCAACATTTAAGAGTCCCCAGAGCCAGGGCGTGACAGTACCCCCCCACCCAAAGGCGCGGACTGCGACCGCGCCAACCAAACACAACAGGGGAGGGGCCGGGTGGGCTTTCCGCCTCGGAGGCGGATCCGGCTCTGGGCGTGACCACCACTCTCCCTCTACCCCCCAGTAGCGCCCCTGGTCTGGTCTGGCCCCGCTGGCCGGAGCTGGACTGGACACCGGTGGAGTGGATTGCTCTGGCTCCAGAGTGGAGCAGCTGACCGGTGCCGGACCAGGCACCAGTGGAACAGGCACGGACCGTGCCGGACTGACGACGCGCACCACTGGCTTGGTGCAGGGAGCAGGAACGGACCGGACCGGGCTGGCGACGCGCACCACTGGCCTGGTGCGGGGAGCAGGAACGGGCCGGACCGGGCTGACGACGCGCACCACTGGCCTGGTGCGGGGAGCAGGAACGGGCCGGACCCTGGCCAACATAGAAATAAACTATCTAGAACACAACCCATAGAAAACTAAATATAACAAGTCCACACCCTGGCTCAATATTTAAGAGTCCCCAGAGCAAGGGCGTGACACCCACACATGAATGGTCTCAGGATGCTTTACTGTTGGCATGACACAGGACTGATGGTAGCGCTCACCTTGTCTTCTCCGGACAGGGTGTTTTCCGGATGCCCCAAACAATCGGAAAGGGGATTCATCAGAGAAAATGACTTTACCCCAGTCCTCAGCAGTCCAATCCCTGTACCTTTTGCAGAATATCAGTCTGTCCCTGATGTTTTTCCTGGAGAGAAGTGGCTTCTTTGCTGTCCTTCTTGACACCAGGCCATCCTCCAAAAGTCTTCGCCTCACTGTGCGTGCAGATGCACTCACACCTGCCTGCTGCCTTTCCTGAGCAAGCTCTGCACTGGTGGTGCCCCGATCCCGCAGCTGAATCAACATTAGGAGACGGTCCTGGCGCTTGCTGGACTTTCTTGGGCGCCCTGACGCCTTCTTCACAACAATTGAACCTCTCTCCTTGAAGTTCTTAATTAACCGATAAATGGTTGATTTAGGTACAATCTTACTAGCAGCAATATCCTTGCCTGTGAAGCCCTTTTTGTGCAAAGCAATGATGACGGCACGTGTTTCCTTGCAGGTAACCATGGTTAACAGAGGAAGAACAATGATTTAAAGCACCACCCTCCTTTTAAAGCTTCCAGTCTGTTATTCTAACTCAATCAGCATGATAGAGTGATCTCCAGCCTTGTCCTCGTCAACACTCTCACCTGTTTTAACGAGAGAATCACTGACATGACGGCAGCTGGTCCTTTTGTGGCAGGGCTGAAATGCAGTGGAAATGTTTTTTGGGGATTAAGTTCATTTTCATGGCAAAGAGGGACTTTGCAATTAATTGCAATTCATCTGATCACTCTTCATGACATTCTGGAGTATATGCAAATTGCCATAATCAAAACTGAGGCAGCAGACATTGTGAAAATTAGTATTTGTGTCATTCTCAAAACTTTTGACCACGACTGTACATATATGGACAAGCAATGACAGAGCGGCATGGACTAAGATACAGTAGAATATTATAGAATACAGTATATTCATATGAGATGAGTAATGCAAGATATATAAACATTATTAAAGTGACTAGTGTTCCATTTCTTAAAGTGGCCAGTGATTTCAATAGGCAGCAGCAGCCTCTAATGTGCTAGTGATGGCTATTTAACAGTCTGATGGCCTTGAGATAGAAGCTGTTTTTCATTCTCTCGGTCCCAGCTTTGATGCACCTGTACTGACCTTGCCTTCTGGATGATAATGGGGGGAACAGGCAGTGGCTCGGGTGGATGATGTCCTTGATGATCTTTTTAGCCTTCCTGTGACATCGGGTGCTGTAGGTGTCCTGGAGGGCGGGTAGTTTGCCCCCGGTAATGCATTGCCCCGGTAATGTGACGTTATAATGTACATCATCTCATCTGGAATAGTTCCAAACCACATAGCCTGGCCCTAGCATATCCTGATCCTCATTAGACAGGCTGAAAAGTGTATACTGATATTTTTTTTTTTTAAGGCAGTAGGCCTATTTAGTACAATCTGATTATAACATCAAATTGTCAACAAAATAATGTGGTTATTCAATCTGGAATTAAACAATAACCTTTATCTACCAATAGCCTAATAAAAGGTATTGAACAGGCCTCGCTATAATGAATCTTTGAATGGGAGATTGACGAGGTTAGGGGAGTGCGTGACACGTGTAGCTGTGGCAGACACTTGTCGACGGAGAACAACAACACAAAGAGTTATCTATCCAAAACGGAGATGTATGGATAAACCACTTCTCCAATCTTTTTGGTCATATAACAAAGAACAAACAGCAAACACATTTACATGATCAAATAACAATCTTAGAATCAACTATTAAAGACTACCAGAACCCACTGGATTCTCCAATTACATTGAATGAACTACAGGACAAAATACAAACCCTCCAACCCAAAAAGGCCTGTGGGGTTGATGGTATCCTAAATGAAATGACAAAATATACAGACCACAAATTCCAATTGGCTATACTTAAACTCTTTAACATCATCCTCAGCTCTGGCATATTCCCCAAGATTTGGAACCAAGGACTTATCACCCCAATCTACAAAAGTGGAGATACATTTGACCCCAATAACTACCGTGGAATATGTGTCAACAGCAACCTTGGGGAAATCCTCTGCATTATCATTAACAGCAGACTCGTACATTTCCTCAGTGAAAACAATGTACTGAGCAAATGTCAAATTGGCTTTTTACCAAATTACCATACGACTGACCACGTATTCACCCTGCACACCCTAATTGACAAACAAACAAACCAAAACAAAGGCAAAGTCTTCTCATGCTTTGTTGATTTCAAAAAAGCTTTTGACTCAATTTGGCATTAGGGCCTGCTATACAAATTGATGGAAAGTGGTGTTGGGGGGAAAACATACGGCATTATAAAATCCATGATTACAAACCACAAGTGTGCGGTTAAAATTGGTAAAAAACACACACATGTCTTTCCACAGGGCAGGGGGTGAGACAGGGATGCAGCTTAAGCCCCACCCTCTTCAACATATATATCAACGAATTGGCGAGGGTCTGCAGCACCCGGCCTCACCCTACTAGAATCTGAAGTCAAATTTGTACTGTTTGCTGATGATCTGGTGCTTCTGTCCCCAACCAAGGAGGGCCTACAGCAGCACCTAGATCTTCTGCACAGATTCTGACAGACCTGGGCCCTGACAGTACATTTCAGTAAGACAAAAATAATGCTGTTCCAAAAAAGGTCCAGTTGCCAGGACCACAAATTTCATCTTGACACCGTTGCCCTAGAGCACACAAAAAAAACGATACATACCTTGGCCTAAACATCAGCGCCACAGGTAACTTCCACAAAGCTGTGAACGATCTGAAAGACAAGGCAAGAAGGGCCTTCTATGCCATCAAAAGGAACATAAAATTCGACATACCAATTAGGATCTGGCTAAAAATACTTGAATCAGTTTTAGAACCTATTGCCCTTTATGGTTGTGAGGTCTGGGGTCCGCTCACCAACCAAGAATTCACAAAATGGGACAAACACCAAATTGAGACTCTGCATGCAGAATTCTGCTAAAATATCCTCAGTGTACAACGTAAAACACCAAATAATGCATGCAGAGCAGAATTAGGCCGATACCCGCTAATTATCAAAATCCAGAAAAGAGCCATTAAATTCTACAACCACCTAAAAGGAAGCGATTCCCAAACCTTCCATAACAAAGCCATCACCTACAGAGAAATGAACCTGGAGAAGAACCCCCTAAGCAAGCTTGTCCTGGGGCTCTGTTCACAAACACAAACAGACCCCACAGAGCCACAGGACAGCAACACATTTAGACCCATGAGAAAACAAAAAGATAATTACTTGACACATTGGAAAGAATTTACAAAAAAACAGAGCAAACTAGAATGCTATTTGGCCCTAAGCAGAGAGTACACAGTGGCAGAATACCTGACCACTGTGACTGACCCAAAATTAAGGAAATCTTTGACTATGTACAGACTCAGTGAGCATAGCCTTGCTATTGAGAAAGGCTGCCGAAGGCAGACCTGGCTCTCAAGAGAAGACAGGCTATGTGCACACCGCCCACAAAATGAGGTGGAAACTGAGCTGCACTTCCTAACTTCCTGCCAAATGTATGACCATATTAGAGACACATATTTCCCTCAGATTACACAGACCCACAAAGAATTCGAAAACAAATCAAATTTTGATAAACTCCCATATCTATTGGGTGAAATACCACAGTGTGCAAACACAGCAGCAATATTTGTGACCTGTTGCCACAAGAAAAGGGCAACCAGTGAAGAACAAACACCATTGTAAATACAACCTATATTTATTTATTTTCCCTTTCGTACTTTAACTATTTGCACATCATTAGAACACTGTATATATACATAATATGACACTTGAAATGTCTTTATTATTTTGGAACTTTTGTGAGTGTAATGTTTACTGATATTTGTTGTTGTTGTTTATTTCACTTTTGTTTATTATCTATTTCACTTGCTTTGGCAATGTAAACATATGTTTCCCATGCCAATAAAGCCCTTCAAGTGAATTGAATTGAATGGGCGAGAGCGAGAGCGCCAGGGAGGGAGGAGGAACTAAATGAAAAAAGTTAAACTAAAAATGGCTTCCTTGTCTTTGGAGTCTGCAGAACAATCTGAGAATAGCACGGAGAAGTCTACCGAAGAGGCCGCTCCGGTAAAAGACGAGACGGATCCAGATGAAGTTTCGGAACAATTGCTAAAAACTTTTCAGAACTCGGCGCTCAGCTTTTCGACCGATCAAGTAGCATGTCTGTGCGAAGCCCTTCTACAGGCAGGCAATGTGGATCGCCTGTGGAGATTCCTGTCAACCATCCCTCCTTCCGCGGAACTGCTACGTGGCAACGAGACGCTGCTCAAGGCCCAGGCACTGGTCGCTTTCCACCGGGAAGAATTCAAGGAGCTGTACGCAATATTGGAAGGCCACGACTTCCACCCGAGCAACCATGGGTTCCTGCAGGACCTCTACTTGCAGGCGCGCTACAAGGAGGCGGAGAGGTCTCGAGGTCGTAGTCTGGGCGCCGTGGACAAGTATCGGCTTCGGAAGAAGTTTCCCCTGCCTAAAACAATCTGGGATGGAGAGGAAACTGTGTATTGTTTCAAGGAGAAGTCTCGCAATGCACTGAAAGAGTGTTACAAAAGCAACAGGTACCCCACTCCAGACGAGAAGAAAAACTTGGCCAAAATGACTGGACTCTCCCTCACGCAAGTCAGCAATTGGTTCAAGAACCGACGGCAGAGACACCGAACCCCGTCCGGTACCAACAGCAAAAGGTAGGCTATACATTCCTTTCTACATTTGTAACCAAATACCCCATTAAAACCTTTCATTCACGATTGCATGTCAAACATCTATGTAAATATGGTTCCTCTTATAATGAATACAATTGTTTGTATGTACAGTGTCTTTTGCAGAGTTGTTTATTGCTAGAGGCAGGCAGACTATGGGGGTAAATATAGCCTATACTGCAACACACGGCTCACACGCAGTTCTAAGCAGTTCTAAGATATTGTTGATTCATTTGACACAAATAAACAATGTTCACCGAAATTCTCCTGATCAGATGGGTAGGAGTGAGCGCTAGAAAGTAGGCTGTAACCAGTTGTTACATACCTGGATCTGTCAACTGCAATATTATTTTAGTGCTCCAAACATATATTTTATGTAATGCAGACTTTTCTGAACCATGGGCTCGACTTTGTGGTTTATCTCAACTGTATGGTTCATGTTGAACATATTTCAATCAAATTCCATCAATCCCTGCAATAACTACATCAACCTGCTCATGTTTATGAATGACAGAATGCATGAACTTTTTGACAGTGATAACGTCACACGTCTTAGAGAGCACGACTGGGAGCAAGAGCATGTTGTGAAATGTGAGATCCAGGCGCCCATTGTGGCTCAAGTTTCCTGAAATTCTGCACCGCAAAGTCTCCCTACGGACCTCGGCGCGCTCCCGAAGCCCTGCACCGCTGGTAGAGCAGCGAGAAACAGAGACCGAAAGAGAGAGGAAATGGTGTGGGTGTTGGGAAACAAAAGGAGGAAATATTAGATTTAAAACCTTTCAAATGTCTTAAGCTCTCCTGTGCCCCCTTTGGAGTGCACATTTACTGTAGGTGTATAGGCTATAGTATGCTAGTTTTGACAGCTTAAATACAAATACAACAAAGCTACACAGGAAATTGGGTTTTTCATGTGTCAGTTGTTGATGTCCTTTATTCCCATGTGTAGAGAGGAAGGTGTGTGGAGAAATAAAAAGAGTGCCGATCATCCCGCATGCAGTCAAGTCTTTATCTTATCTCAAGGGGCTGTGGTGGCTGGGGACAGTAAATCAGTTGTCCATTGTTCTCTGCGTTAACCACACTGCTTCAGTGCACCAGGATAGTTCAGGACATACACATCACACACTGTGTAAACCATAGGATCAAAGGAGATTGTCACTGACTGTTATTGACTTACCATATGTTATGTGTATTGTAACATTCTCATTCCTTTCTCCTCTTTTCCACTCCATCTATCATGCAATCCTTGCCCTCTACTCCCCCTTCTTCTTCCATACACTGTCTCTGTTCATTGTCTCACTCCCTCCACGGTTCACTCACCCTATCTTTCTCCCCTGCTCCTCCCCTCCTCCTGTGTTTTCTCAGTGAGTCCGATGGCAACCATAGCACAGACGATGAGGCTGACATCTCAGACAAACCAGAGGACGTTGTGGGCTCCACAGCCTCCATCATCTCCCTCTCTGGCACCCCCTGCAGCACTGGAGGCCAGATCTTCCTCAACGGGGCTGGTGGGTTCCTCACCGCCTCCCACCCCTTACTCCTCAACAGGGGCTCCCTGATCTCCGGGGCAGGGGGTGGCGTCATCATCAACGGGCTGACCCTGAGCGATGGTCACACGGTTACCCTCAGCCCCGTATCGGCTAACTCACCTCTGCTGTTCAATGGAGCGCAGGTCATATCCAAGAGCAGTGAGGTTGTGCAGGATATGGGTCTGGAGGGCCAGGGGGTTATGGCCATGGAGGCCCAGCCCAGCTCTGCCATCTCCCTCCCCCTGACAGAGGACCTTAAGACGGACAATGTTAGCCTGACAAACCCCTCGACTATCCCCATCCTGGACTTCATCAATGTCCCAGAGGGGATGGTTCTCAAAGCAGAGGACATCCAGACAGTCTCTCCTTCCCCCTCCTCTTCCTCCTTGTCTTCCCCCTCAACATTCTCCCCCACCTCCCTCCCCTCCCTAGTTCTGACTCAAAATGGCAACCTCTCCGACACCCTCCCGGTCTCTATGTCCTCCCCGGGCGTGGTCATCTCCAGCCCTGTAGTGGGCCTCCCCAACCAGCAGGGGGAGTATGTGGTGTTTGCCACGGCTGGTTCTCAGCTCACCCCCTCCAGCTCCATCTGCCAGGTGGTGTCCTCCTACAGCTACTCCAGCCCACAGGTCTTCTCCTTGCCCCAGGTGGTGCCCTCCATCCAGGGTATCCCTGTATCCCAACTGGTCCAACATACCCCTGGAGGCCAGGTGTCCCAGTGTCCCCAGTTAGTCCCTGTGTCCCCTCTCACCTCCTCTCTCCCCCAGCGCACCCTCTCCCAGTTCCAGGGCCACCAGAGTCTGAACATCGCCCCCTGCCTCGCCCAACCCCTCCCCCAGCATCATACTGGTTCCTCTACATTGGGAGCGGGAACCACCATCCTCTCCCTGTCCCAGCTCACCAACGGACAGCTCCCCCAGGGACTCACACTCCAGTTGGGAGACCAGACCTCAGCTACCATCCCCACTCTGACACAGATCCAGTCCCCACTAGGCCATCCCAAGATAATTTCCTCCCCTACCCAAGTGGTTCCCGTCTCCCAGTCCAAAGAGACAACCCCAGCCCAGTTGGTTCCCCTTTCCCTGCCCCAGCTGGTGCCTGTCTCCTCCACGGGACAACTCTCCTTCCCTCAGGTGGGCCCGGCCACCCCGTCTCTATCTGGAGGGGCCTTCCAGATCCTAACCTCGACCCCTGGAGGTGGGATGACTCAGGGGCCCTTCAGGATAAACCAGCTGGGACCCCTCCAGACTGTAGGCCCCCCGACCAGCATGGCTCCTGGTGTCCAGCTCCTCAACTCTGGGGTCATTCAGCTCCCCTCCGCCTCGCCAGGTAACTAAAGGCTCGGACACACAGAGAAGTATGATGTGAACAACTTTTTGTTGTTCACATCATACAGATCAACCGCTGAAACACTCCATACCACAAGGTGGCAGTCGCTTTTTTAAGCTTTGTTTGGCTTTTGCCTGATGGCTAATGTTAGCTAACTAGAAAGGTCTGCTAATGTTGTTGCTAGCTAGCTAGAATTTGTAGTAAGCCCATGTTGTTACTAGCCACAACTAGATAACTTGAGTTGCAAGCAACATTATAGCTAATTAAATCAAAATTGATTTGTTTTTGAATTATGCAACTGACTGTTAGCTGCCAAGAGTCAGTGGAGTAGCTAGCTAACTTTGTTGTGCTAACTGGCAAATGGTGATGCTAACTGTTTAGCTAATGTTAGCTGGCCATGTTAGCTAACACCGGTGACACGACCGTGGTATCATGGGCAGGTCTCAGGTCGGCAGGCAAGTCCATACAACACTGGTGCCCTGATCGCCGGCTTATCGACTCGTCATGCAGCCCAATCAGCCATGCAAAATGGTCTTGAGTGGCAACAAATCTGCCCAATTATCTGATTCGCTTTCCATACACCCACTCCTTTCGACACATCCACTCGCCCATACTCCGGTCGCCATATTGGGCTGCAGCTAACCATAGTTGCCTTTTCGGATCCCCCGCAGGGGGTCCGTGCTCTCTGATTGGCTCAGATTCAAGTTGTGAAGAAAGGGCAGGTTCATCAGTACCAGGTTGGTATGCAACAGGGGGTGTCTTTTTTGATCTAGCGAGATAAGGAAAGCCTCCCACTGTGCTAAGTACCTATCGACAGTCAGTCTTCTCCGTGTGTCTGACATATTACTAAGTCATTTGCTTTTTAGGGAAAATGTAGCTATATCAATTTTGGTGATGAACTGCTAACAAAAAATATTTTCCCCTACTACTTCCTCTCCACTTCCACCTCTCCTTTGTCCTGTAGGAAATCTCCTCTATGGTGGAAGCCCCATCCTGAGTTACCAGAATGGCAAGCTGATCCTAACTGTCCCAGCTGGCATCCAGTTTGGCAGCCTGCCTATGAAATCCGTCCCTGAGGCTTCTACCTACCCCACCAACGGAGTAGGCCCCGGACTCACTCTCAACCCTGTCATCCACACTACACCTACCCTCATACCAGTCTCCACATCCATCTCAACCTCCAACACCCTCCAGACGTCCCCCCTCTGCTTCATCAACTCCTCTCCGCTCTACTGCACTCCTGAGACGGGTGTCCCCACCAACCAGCCCCTCTCTACCACCTCCCCACATACCCTGGACCTCTCTGCCACCCACACCCCTCCCAATGCCCTCACCCTAGAGAGCATGCTCTCCCTCAGCCCCATGTGCAGTGTAGTGACCCCCACCACTCAGCTCTCCCAGACCACCTGGAGCCCCGTCCCCCTCTCCACCTCCGCCAGCCTGACTATGTTTGACGTCCGTGGGAAGGGGAATCTACCCGAGGACCCGGCTCTGCTGGGCCTACCTGGAGGCGAGGCCCTGCTACTGGGGAACCCCTCTCCGGAACAGGATGTGAACAGGGTGTCGCCATTGGGGGACCCAGAGGAGATGGATGGAGACCCCAAGATCCTCACCCAGCTACAATCAGTCCCTGTGGATGACGAGTTGGGGCTGTAATCCAGTCTCCCCCAGCCCACATCGCCATAAACTCAGTCAGCAAGACTATATGTCTATATGTTACGGAACAATCTGGGAGGTTTTGTTTTCCATCCTCAGTGCTCCCCTGGATAGGTTTGCATTGAGGAGTGGACTGGCTTTGACTCGTATGAGAAAGGTGCTTTGACTCAATAAATCCTCTGCCGATTATCCTTTTGGATAAACCATCATGGGATAGGCTGATTTTATGCAACATGGAATGACCTGGAGGATGGCCTATTCCCTGATTTCTGTAACACAACTGTCCACTGCTTGGTCTCCACAATTTTAGCACTCCTTTACTGTCATCATCTGCCTCCCATAAGCCTAGAGCCCTTCCTGTGTCACAAAATCCAGTCAGAGCCAAAATGGAGGAGCCCATCTACTGAGTCAACTGTGGGAGTAAAAGTCCTAAAACTCTCCATGCAAGGCGTGGTTCCTTTTTCTCTCTGCATAACGTTTATTTCTAAGGACATTCTGCTGCTTTTATGCACAGACGTCCCGTTTCAGCCAAGACTATTTGTACTACAAGGGAATGAATGCCTTGGGTTTTAGTTGCCGTTGGTTGAGCAGTACTCCACGGCCAGGCTGTCTGTCTTTTTTAAGTCTCTAAACACAGCCAAATGCAGACGCAGTCAAGCGTTCAGTCCTGTTGTTGGTCTGGGTGGTTCTGAATGGTGCTCACTCTGGTGCTGGTGTAGTTTGAGTGCTGCTGAGTATTGCACAGTTTAGCCTCTGTGAACGGCACAGAAAGTGGGCTGACAGTGACACCAGAGACCCCGGACCTCTATCATTGAGATGGACTGTGTACTCCTCTCTCTCAAAACTAGTCAGCAGTGTCACAGCATCAAGGGCGCAGGCTCATCATTTAACTACAGGTTGGCATACATGTTAAGCTCTGTCACATCTGAGGTCTGTAGGAGGAAATGGATTCACCTGGGATTTGTTAAATCACTTTTTTACTCTATGCAATCGATGTATGTTCCTTTGTAAATATGACCATGTGACACAGATATGACATGTATTACATATGTAAGCCAGTCTAATTGGGATAGACCAAGCTTTAGTAAAGACTGAGTTTTTATACACTTTGAAGTCTAATGCGCGTACACTACAAACTCTGCTTGATCACATTGAGTGCGCCACAATTGTACACTACAAATGGTATATTGTGTCTATGAATGAAGATGTTTGTTATTATGTGTTTTTATATTACTTGTATGGGTTTGAGTTAAACCTAGTAAGGGCTTTTATTATCCAGTTGCTGTTGTTTTCTTGCCTTTGTATCTTCAAAGTGAAGAATGTGTTCACCTCTTCACAAAGTTAAGCACCATTGAAACAAGCAACTTCCCACATTAACTTTGAATATGAGTTTTGTAATAACCCTTATCCCTCTTGAACTCTAGAGAAACGTAATATGATACTCTTGGTTGCAGGCCGTTGCTCTTTTTGCATCACTAACACCTACCATGATATAATCACCATTGAGAACTCCCTCCTCGTTATACGTTTTGCACATTTCGTCCATGTCATGTTTACATCTTTGGTGATGGCCAGATTCTATTGTGAAAACCTGCTGCCTTGTCTCTGTTCTTGATGAATTGCACTCACTGATCTGAAGGGACGGGATAGGTCGAATCAGCTGGTTAGGTTGAGTTTCAGACAGCCTCTGTCTGTCCTGATATCAGCAACAGTGAGTCATGAAGCCCTGAGAGCAGGTGATATGTCTCCTAGAATGGAATGGTATCCAGCGAGATGTGGTGCAGTTCTCTCCATAAACTTACAGTACTCACCATCTCTCCATAACCAAAGCACAGATGGCAGTTAGTTCTCTGGCCAATGTTAAAACAACGCTACACTTCAGTGTCACTCGCAGCTCTGTGTGTTTATATTTGTTTGTTTCTTTTCTATGTGTATTTAAAGCATGTATCAATCATTTTCTTGTAGTAACTTTGAATACTTCGATTGAAAAAACAAGCAGTCCATGAGGAAAATGGACATAGGAAAAAGCATCAATGGACCTTCCCAGAGGATGGCTGGTTGTACAGTCTCAGAATATGTGTAGATAATGATAATCACCACTTCTCAAATGATATTATACACTTTTACAATCTGAATAGGATGTTAATACCTGTACCATTCACTTGCCAAAGGAATGTTGCAAGTTGTTTTTGTGGGTGTTTGGAAATTTTTTGTTGGTTCTGAGTATTTTTTCCCATACAATACTTTGCATGAGTTGGAGGCTAAGGGAAATTGTGTTTGTGTATCCATGAGCCCAACCAACCCTTGTCTACATGTAGTGGTTTTACTCTTTCAGTGTGTGGTGCTCCAAAGGCTGTTACAGTGTCAGGTGCAGTAGTTTGTGCACAATCTAACACACACGCATGCACACACAAAGAAAGATGTGCTGACACACAACCTCCAGCTGAGTTATCCAAAGATATGTATTTGTTATGTACTTTTTAATAGCGAGTAAAGGGATTATTTGATGAATTTTTTTTTTTTAACATCTGTTTTGTCCTTTTGAGGGGTTGGTTTTGTACTTAAAGGTATTTTATTTTTTATATACAGTTTTACTGTGATATTCTAATAAACTAAATTTTAGAATACATTTTTGTTTGGGGTGATTTTGTGAATGCTTCTCTCTTTAAATTTCCATGTGAGATTTATGGGTCATGGGGAAAAACTATTGAGGAGTGTCTACACTATCAAATCACGTTAGAAGCGCTTTTGCAATTTGGTTAGTAAATTAGATTTAAATACTCTTGTTTGAAAAACACAATCATGCTTTCTCTCTGGATGAATGAGTATACAACCGAGAAAGGACAATCAGGTGTGTGTGTGTGTGTGTGACTGTTTTTGTAACCCCCATGCTCTCAGGTTACCTGTGATTTCAACAATGCCAGGGCGGGGACAGGGTATGAATAAGGAGATATATATATAGTGAGGGAAAAAAGTATTTGATCCCCTGCTGATTTTGTACGTTTGCCCACTGACAAAGAAATGATCAGTCTATAATTTTAATGGTAGGTTTATTTGAACAGTGAGAGAGAGACAGAATAACAACAAAAAAATCCAGAAAAACACATGTCAAAAATGTTATAAATTGATTTGCATTTTTATGAGGGAAACAAGTATTTGACCCCTCTGCAAAACATGACTTAGTGCTTGGTGGCAAAACCCTTGTTGGCAATCACAGAGGTCAGACATTTCTTGTAGTTGGCCACCAGGTTTGCACACATCTCAGGAGGGATTTTGTTCCACTCCTCTTTGCAGATCTTCTCCAAGTCATTAAGGTTTCGAGGCTGACGTTTGCCAACTCGAACCTTCAGCTCCCTCCACAGATTTTCTATGGGATTAAGGTCTGGAGACTGGCTAGGCCACTCCAGGACCTTAATGTGCTTCTTCTTAAGCCACTCCTTTGTTGCGTTGGCCGTGTGTTTTGGGTCATTGTCATGCTGGAATACCCATCCACGACCCATTTTCAATGCCCTGGCTGAGGGAAGGAGGTTCTCACCAAAGATTTGACGGTACATGGCCCCGTCCATCGTCCCTTTGATGCGGTGAAGTTGTCCTGTCCCCTTAGCAGAAAAACACCCCCAAAGCATAATGTTTCCACCTCCATGTTTGACGGTGGGGATGGTGTTCTTCGGGTCATAGGCAGCATTCCTCCTCCTCCAAACACTGCGAGTTGAGTTGATACCAAAGAGCTCGATTTTGGTCTCATCTGACCACAACACTTTCACCCAGTTCTCCTCTGAATCATTCAGATGTTCATTGGCAAACTAAAGCATATGTGCTTTCTTGAGCAGGGGGACCTTGCGGGCGCTGCAGGATTTCAGTCCTTCACGGTGTAGTGTGCTACCAATTGTTTTCTTGGTGACTATGGTCCCAGCTGCCTTGAGATCATTGACAAGATCCTTCCGTGTAGTTCTGGGCTGATTCCTCACCGTTCTCATGATCATTGCAACTCCACGAGGTGAGATCTTGCATGGAGCCCCAGGAGATTGACAGTTATTTTGTGTTTCTTCCTTTTGCGAATAATCGCACCAATTGTTGTCACCTTCTCACCAAGCTGCTTGGCGATGGTCTTGTAGCCCATTCCAGCCTTGTGTAGGTCTACAATCTTGTCCCTGACATCCTTGGAGAGCTCTTTGGTCTTGGCTATAGTGGAGAGTTTGGAATCTGATTGATTGATTGCTTCTGTGGACAGGTGTCTTTTATACAGGTAACAAGCTGCGATTAGGAGCACCTCCTTTAAGAGTGTGCTCCTAATCTCTGCTCGTTACCTGTATAAAAGACACCTGGGAGCCAGAAATCTTTCTGATTGAGAGGGGGTCAAATACTTATTTCCCTCATTAAAATGCAAATTAATTTATAGCATTTTTGACATGCGTTTTTCTGGATTTTGTTGTTGTTATTCTGTCTCTCACTGTTCAAATAAACCTACCATTAAAATTATAGACTGATCATTTATTTGTCAGTGGGCAAATGTACAAAATCAGCAGGGGATCAAATTCTTTTTTCCCTCACTGTATATATATACAGTGGGGAGAACAAGTATTTGATACACTGCCGATTTTGCAGGTTTTCCTACTTACAAAGCATGTAGAGGTCTATAATTTTTTATCATAGGTACACTTCAACTGTGAGAGACAGAATCTAAAACAAAAATCCAGAAAATCTCATTGTATGATTTTTAAGTAATTAATTTGCATTTTATTGCATGACATACAGTAGGGGAAAAAAGTATTTAGTCAGCCACCAATTGTGCAAGTTCTCCCACTTAAAAAAATTAGAGAGGCCTGTAATTTTCATCATAGGTACACGTCAACTATGACAGACAAAATGATACTTTTTTTTCCAGAAAATCACATTGTAGGATTTTTAATGAATTTATTTGCAAATTATGGTGGAAAATAAGTATTTGGTCAATAACAAAAGTTTCTCAATACTTTGTTATATACCCTTTGTTGGCAATGACACAGGTCAAATGTTTTCTGTAAGTCTTCACAAGGTTTTCACACACTGTTGCTGGTATTTTGGCCCATTCCTCCATGCAGATCTCCTCTAGAGCAGTGATGTTTTGTGGCTGTTGCTGGGCAACACAGACTTTCAACTCCCTCCAAAGATTTTCTATGGGGTTGAGATCTGGAGGCTGGCTAGGCCACTCCAGGACCTTGAAATGCTTCTTACGAAGCCACTCCTTCGTTGCCCGGGCAGTGTGTTTGGGATCATTGTCATGCTGAAAGACCCAGCCACGTTTCATCTTCAATGCCCTTGCTGATGGAAGGAGGTTTTCACTCAAAATCTCACGATACATGGCCCAATTCATTCTTTCCTTTCACGGATCAGTCGTCCTGGTCCCTTTGCAGAAAAAGAGCCCCAAAGCATGATGTTTCCACCCCCATGCTTCACAGTAGGTATGGTGTTCTTTGGATGCAACTCAGCATTCTTTGTCCTTCAAACACGACGAGTTGAGTTTTTACCAAAAAGTTCTATTTTGGTTTCATCTGACCATATGACATTCTCCCAATCCTCTTCTGGATCATCCAAATGCACTCTAGCAAACTTCAGACAGGCCTGGACATGTACTGGCTTATGCAGGGGGACACGTCTGGCACTGCAGGATTTGAGTCCCTGGCGGCGTAGTGTGTTACTGATGGTAGGCTTTGTTACTTTGGTCCCAGCTCTCTGCAGGTCATTCACTAGGTCCCCCCGTGTGGTTCTGGGATTTTTGCTCACCGTTCTTGTGATCATTTTGACCCCACAGGGTGAGATCTTGCGTGGAGCCCCAGATCGAGGGAGATTATCAGTGGTCTTGTATGTCTTCCATTTCCTAATAATTGCTCCCACAGTTGATATCTTCAAACCAAGCTGCTTACCTATTGCAGATTCAGACTTCCCAGCCTGGTGCAGGTCTACAATTTTGTTTCTGGTGTCCTTTGACAGCTCTTTGGTCTTGGCCATAGTGGAGTTTGGAGTGTGACTGTTTGAGGTTGTGGACAGGTGTCTTTTATACTGATAACAAGTTGAAACAGGTGCCATTAATACAGGTAACGAGTGGAGGACAGAGGAGCCTCTTAAAGAAGAAGTTACAGGTCTGTGAGAGCCAGAAATCTTGCTTGTTTGTAGGTGACCAAATACTTATTTTCCACCATAATTTGCAAATCAATTCATGAAAAATCCTACAATGTGATTTTCTGGATTTTATTTTCTCAATTTGTCTGTCATAGTTGACGTGCACCTATGATGAAAATTACAGGCCTCTCTCATCTTTTTAAGTGGGAGAACTTGCACAATTGGTGGCTGACTAAATACTTTTTTTCCCCACTGTAAGTATCTGATCACCTACCAACCAGTAAGAATTCAGGCTCTCACAGACCTGTTAGTTTTTCTTTAAGAAGCCCTCCTGTTCTCCACTCATTACCTGTATTAACTGCACCTGTTTGAACTCGTTACCTGTATAAAAGACACCTGTCCACACACTCAATTAAACAGACTCCAACCTCTTCCACAATGGCCAAGACCAGAGAGCTGTGTAAGGACATCAGGGATAAAATTGTAGACCTGCACAAGGCTGGGATGGGCTACAGGACAATAGGCAAGCAGCTTGGTGAGAAGGTAACAACTGTTGGCGCAATTATTAGAAAATGGAAGAAGTTCAAGATGACGGTCAATCACCCTCGGTCTGGGGCTCCATGCAAGATCTCACCTCGTGGGGCATCAATGATCATGAGGAAGGTGAGGGATCAGCCCAGAACTACACGGCAGGACCTGGTCAATGACCTGAAGAGAGCTGGGACCATAGTCTCAAAGAAAACCATTAGTAACACACTACGCCGTCATGGATTAAAATCCTGCAGCACACGCAAGGTCCCCCTGCTCAAGCCAGCGCATGTCCAGGCCTGTCTGAAGTTTGCCAATGACCATCTGGATGATCCAGAGGAGGAATGGGAGAAGGTCATGTGGTCTGATGAGACAAAAATAGAGCTTTTTGGTCTAAACTCCACTCACCGTGTTTGGAGGAAGAAGAAGGATGAGTACATCCCCAAGAACACCATCCCAACCGTGAAGCATGGAGGTGGAAACATCATTCTTTGGGGATGCTTTTCTGCAAAGGGGACAGGACGACTGCACCGTATTGAGGGGAGGATGGATGGGGCCATGTATCGCGAGATCTTGGCCAACAACCTCCTTCCCTCAGTAAGAGCATTGAAGATGGGTCGTGGCTGGGTCTTCCAGCATGACAACGACCCGAAACACACAGCCAGGGCAACTAAGGAGTGGCTCCGTAAGGAGCATCTCAAGGTCCTGGAGTGGCCTAGCCAGTCTCCAGACATGAACCCAATTTAAAATCTTTGGAGGGAGCTGAAAGTCCCGAAACCTGAAGGATCTGGAGAAGGTCTGTATGGAGGAGTGGGCCAAAATCCCTGCTGCAGTGTGTGCAAACCTGGTCAAGACCTACAGGAAACGTATGATCTCTGTAATTGCAAACAAAGGTTTCTGTACCAAATATTAAGTTCTGCTTTTCTGATGTATCAAATACTTATGTCATGCAATAAAATGCAAATGAATTACTTAAAAATCATACAATGTGATTTTCTGGATTTTTGTTTTAGATTCCGTCTCTCACAGTTGAAGTGTACCTATGATAAAAATTACAGACCTCTTCATGCTTTGTAAGTAGGAAAACCTGCAAAATCGGCAGTGTATCAAATACTTGTTCTCTCCACTGTATATACAGCTCTGGAAAAAATTAAGAGACCACTGCAAAACTATCAGTTTCTCTGGTTTTACTATTTATAGGTATGTGTTTGGGTAAAAATAACATTTTTGTTTTATTTTATAAACTACTGACAACATTTCTTCCAAATTCCAAATAAAATATTGTAATTTAGAGCATTTATTTGCAGAAAATGACAACTGGTCAAAATAACAAAAAAAGATGCAGTGTTGTCAGACCTTGAATAATGCAAAGAAAATAAGTTCATGTTCATTTTTAAACAACACAATACTAATGTTTTAACTTAAGAAGAGTTCAGAAATCAATATTTGGTGGAATAACCCTGATTTTCAATCACAGCTTTCATGCGTCTTGGCATGCTCTCCACAAGTGTTTCACATTGATGTTGGGTGACTTTATGCCACTCCTGGCAAAAAAATTAAAGCTGCTCGGCGTTGTTTGATGGCTTGTGACCATCCATCTTCCTCTTGATCACATTCCAGACGTTTTCAATGGGGTTCAGGTCTGGAGATTGGGCTGGCCATGACAGGGTCTTGATCTGGTGGTCCTCCATCCACACTTTGATTGACCTGGCTGTGTGGCATGGTGCATTGTCCTGCTGGAAAAACCAATCCTCAGAGTTGGGGAACAATGTCAGAGCAAAAGGAATCAAGTTTTCTTCCAGGACAACCTTGTACGTGGCTTGATTCATGCGTCCTTCACAAAGACAAATCTGCCCGATTCCAGCCTTGCTGAAGCACCCCCAGATCATCACCGATCCTCCACCAAATGTCACAGTGGGTGCGAGACATTGTGGCTTGTAGGCCTCTCCAGGTCTCCGTCTAAGCATTAGACGACCAGGTGTTGGGCAAAGCTGAAAATTGGACTCATCAGAGAAGATGACCTTACTCCAGTCCTCTACGGTCCAATCCTTATGGTCTTTTGCAAACCTCAGCCTGGCTCTTCTTTGCTTCTCATTGATTAAGGGCTTTTTTCTAGCTTTGCATGACTTCAGCCCTGCCGCTAGGAGCCTGTTTTGAACCGTCCTCGCCGTGTACTTCACCCCAGCTGCCGTTTGCCATTATTTTTGTAGGTCACTTGATGTCATCCTACGGTTGTTGAGTGACATTCGAATGAGTTGGCGGTCATGCTGCTTGAACTTGTTCTTATGAACCGCCGTCATTTACATTTTAAGGATGGAAGCAACCTGACGTATCCCTCTGACGTATCCCTCTGCTAGTAAAGCCAGAATTTAACCCTTCTTTTCCTCACTCAAAACTTTCCTTTTCAACTCTTTTGGCATGGTCAACAGTTATTTTTTTATTAATATTACTTTTGAGGTACTATTAGCACTGTTTTTGCCATCCAGCTGTTCCTATTGCAAGAGGATAGTGATGACCACAGCAGTGGTTTTTATACTTTTCCTCGTTAAATAAGATTTGGTTCATGTGATCACCGAATCAGTACCTAATTCAGTAGAATGAGGTGTGCCTGTGTTGGAATTCAACAGACACTGGAATGGAATGGCTGTCATATATGTAGAGATGCTGATTTAAGAAATATTTGCAGTGGTCTCTTAATTTTTTCCCGAGCTGTATATATAATATATATATATATATATATATACATACACACAAGTTCACAGACATTCATACAGACTTATTCACCGACAGCCGCTAACGTTCTCTACAGACTCTCAAGCTATCTCTAAAACATTTCCCTTCACTGAGAGAGTAGTGAAAGGTCACAGAGGTAGGCCAACTAAGAGATGATTGTGGACTACAGGAAAAAGAAGAGGACCGAGCATGCCCCCATTCTCATCGATGGGGCTGTAGTGGAGCAGGTTGAGATCTTCAAGTTCCTTTGTGTCCACATCACCAACAAACTAACATGGTCCAATCACACTGCTACTCTCTGTTTATTATCTATGCACAGTCACTTTAATAACTCTACCTACTTATACATATTACCTCAATTACCTCCACTAACCCTTGACTAACTGGTGCCCCCCCACATTGACTTGGTACCAGTACCCCCTGTATATAGCCTCGCTATTGTTATTTTTACTGCTGCTCATTAATTATTTGTTACTTTTATTTCGTATTATTTTATATTGTATTTTAGTGTGATTTTTTTGTGGTATTCTTTCTTAACTGCATTGTTGGTTAAGGGCTTGTAAGTAAGCATTTCACTGTAAGGTCTACACCTGTTGTATTCGGCGCATGTGACAAATAACATTTGATTTGATTGAACCTTTCTTGTCGGGCGTGCGCTCCATCTCCAAGGAGATGGTCTTCTCCGCAGAGCAGGTGGCGTGTGTGTGCGAGGTCCTTCTGCAGAGCGGACGCATGGAGCGCTTGACTGGCTTCATCCGCACTCTTCCTTAGACCACTGCGGCACTCTTGCCTGGGGGGTCTGGAGAGCGGCCGGAAGGCAAGGGCTGCGGTGGCCTTCCATCTGGGGCGCTTCTCCGACCTCTACGCCCTCCTGGAGGGCTTCCTCTTCTCCAATCGCAGCCACCCACTGCTACAGCAGCTCTAGCTGAGGGCACACTACCTGGAGGCCGAGTGCCAGAGAGGGCGCCCCCTTGGGATTGTGGGGAAGTACCGTGTACGCCGTAAGTTTCCCCTGCCAAGAACCATCTGGGATGGAGAGGAGACCAGCTACTGCTTCAAGGTACAGTGAATAAACCTACTAGGTTTCTTTGAGTTAATATTACTGTTATATTTAATATTATACTGCCTCAGAACATTTTTGCTTCTGTAAAACAAAATGTCCCTAGGGCCCTAGGTCTTGGTCCATAATTAAGCTGTCTATAATGTATTAGGTGTTGCATCTGAGTTTAGACTAGACAAAAAAGATGAGGGGAGGAAGGCCCTTGTGGAGTCAAGATGGTGTATGTCAAGACAAAAGGGACTTTCTACCTGGAACTCAAGTCTGAAGTGTCTTACTCTGTCTGCTTCAAATGCACTGAACACCTGAAAGCAATATGATGGATGTAAACTCCCTCATATCAGTGCAGATGAAGGACAGGAAATGAGGAGCAGAGGTCTCTTACTGCTACCATTAACTTTAAATCATGAACCTACTTGTTTCATAAATCTGAAGTTAATGTTGCTCTTCACAGGAGAAATCCCGGAGTGTGCTGCGGGAGTGTTATTACCGTAAACCCTACCCTTCACCACGTGAGAAACAAGCGCTTGCGGCCGCCACCGGTCTCTCCACCACCCAGGTGAGCAACTGGTTCAAGAACAGACGGCAACGGGAGCGAGCAGCTCACGGTACTACCGAGTGAGTCTTCACTTTCTCTGATCTCCCTCTTATATGTTTCATGAGAAGATTTTCATCCCTCCTTTAATTTCTAATGTTTGTCTGGCAGTCAATCCTGTTTTTGCTTTAGGACTGCACTATATCTCATTTTGCTAACAGCTTTGCAATGGACTACCACTGCCCTCTTCTGGCACAACCAGGGAACTGACATGTGCTCTCTCCTCTCATGGAACAGGAAGGTTCAGCATACCCAGAGGCCTACCCCTCTTCTGACAATGACCTTTCACCTCCAGGCAGCCCCAGTCCCCTCTTCTCCTGCCCCCAACCCCCACATCTGAGCCATGTGGGTGGGGGACAACTCTGAATCTCTCCACTACCTGAGACATCATGTATAGTATGTTCACTTCATAGGCAATAATATTCAGTTGTCTAGAAATGTATGTGAGAATATTCAATCTTTTTAGTAACTTAGATTCGTGACACCCTGTACCAAAACTTGTATGTTAAGTGTTAAATAATCTCAAAAGACAAAAGCAAAAAAATTAAATGCAGTTTAATAGAAAACAGAAATGTGTCACCAGACCTAATCATGACATTTGTGAGTAAAACAATGTGTTTTAAAAAATGTGCTCCCATATCATTTACGTTTACGTCATTTAGCAGACGCTCTTACCCAGAGCGACTTACAAATTGGTGCATTCAACTTATATCATGCTTACTGAACAAGATCCAGGTTGCGGCTGAGAGAAACCACGGCCAAATGTTAGTGCAGCCAGGACAAGCACACAGCCTCTCCCAGTGTAGTCTCCTGTCTGTATGTCCCATAGGGACGGCTCTGAGATGATTCCTATTGACTGAGTTTAAACATCATCCAGTGTGTGCACATGGATTCACATCATATTCTCTCCACTGAACCAATAAAGCTGCCTGCCTGCCGCAGAGGCAATCTGGCCTATTAGATTCTACCTGACATTGTGTTAAGATAATTTCTATCTCTAATTCAACCCTAAGCTTGAATCATTACCAGAGGTTGTAAGGCTCTGGTTTTAATCATAAATGATTCAAGGTCCACAACCAACAAGGATTATCTGTATCTTTATTCATGGAGAGCTCTGGCGCCAAAACCCATACACTCCTGTTTTATACCTCGACACACAAAGGCACCCTGCTCCGCCCACCTCTAGGAGGCCCCCTGTAACCCGTTTTCTCAGTCCCCTTCACCCTGGAATGTTTAGTCCCGCCCCCCTCTTTTAGTAGGTTGACAATACATTATAATTCTAACACAGTTCACACATTTATACTGTATTTGGGGTGAAATCCTTTAGTCATTATTCTTAAAATACAAATTAATCTAACAATCCACCCCTTTGACTAAATATCTTCACCTTCAGGATAAATGTATTTTACAAGCATGATTAATCTCAGAGATCACGTCAGAACTAATAAACATTTCATCCAATTGCGGTCTTTCAGGGTCCAAATCCTCGTCATCCACCAAGCCTGGAGGATTGTTTTTTTTTTCACATTCCCCTGGTCAGCTCAGTCAAAACTGTTCGCTGCTCTGGCACCCCAATGGTGGAACAAGCTCCCTCACGACGCCAGGACAGCGGAGTCACTCACCACCTTCCAGGAGAACCCCCCTTTAGGAACCAACAACCCCCCCCCTTAAATTTCAGAA